TACGACACCCATGATGAGATCCGGCCACACTGAGTAGCTGCTCACTGTGACTAAATATTTCGAGTCACAACACCATTTCTCCACACACATGCAGGTGGTGAAACTTAATTGAGGGAGCCATCAACTGGCACGCCACCAAATCGTTGTAAGTAGCACTGATTCTGCATTCGAACCACGGAGCATCACCACATGCACTATATTGCAGTTAGGATAGATTTATCACTTAAATATTTTTCTCGTGTCATATTCCATTTCCACCAATAAAATATAAACTTCTGTAACAATAACAAAGTGAGCTCTATAAAGGATGAAGTACTTGTGGGAATTATGCAAACAACTAGATGCTTTGCAAGATGACCTTTGTCCTATGTAGTGTATTTAACTTGGAGGCACAATAACTATTGACTCTTTTAAATCCTTGATCTTGCCAACATATTGAATGCATTTGTGGACATGGAAGAGCTGAGTGAGGGGGCAACTTCCAGGAGTATAGCCTCCACGAATTCATTCTATCTGCTTTAGTTGTTGTTATTGATATATCAAAGCTTCCAATTTACTCACTAGTTGCTACTCATGGCAATTGTCTCTATAGTAGAGGCAAGCTAAGTATATATGGAAGCCAGCTTTTGGAAGACTTCATCACCGATATATAAAGAACAACACTTAGGAAAAAACATTTATTATCTTCACTTCTAATATTGTGATCATTTTGGCTTTGACACTTATGAATATTTGAGACTTTGCACCTTGTAACACTTTGAAAAATATTTGGACCTCACACTCACATTTCTAAGCTCTCGTTATCAACATTGTTTGTTACTACTGCTCTCTATAGACACAATGGACAAGCCGTTCATCATGGTCTACCTCATCAAACTCTGTGATTCCAATGCTATCTAGGAGTTCCTTGTCCACCAGACAAATCCTTTACTCCTCCAGGCCACAAAGAGTGCACAAACCCTTGTAAATTACACACAAATGCCATTTGAATCAAATGGCTTCAAGCATAGCAAGGACTCAACAATCTCTCCAAGTTTCTATGCATTGCTCTTACAACCTATACTTCCACAAGCACATTGGCACCCTTGTGAGGGATGGGAACCCAAGCATTTCCCCCTAAAAGCCTCAATTCCTTTATGCACGAGGCCCATCTACACGTGGTAATAGCATGTGTTGAACTCTTTTAAATGTTGTTGGCTTAGGCTGATTCAGATTTTTCTAAAAACTGCTTTAATGAGATCTTGCTTTGTCTTGAGAGATATACATACTGTGTTCTTCCTAAAATGATTTACCAGTGCTTTGGCAATCATCTACTTATGCCTTGTTCCCACTTCCATTTTACCCTTACAATGGCACTTGCCCAACACTCCCACTGTCCAGCCAACCTAAACACAATTCCTGTACATAAATTGATGTCATTTTTTGCTGAGTTGGCCCACTGGATATAACCTGAGGGTCAGATTTATGCCCTGGTAGGAGAATTTATCTAAGAGTCCTTGTTTGTGAAGTCCAAAGCAACATCCCCACAATGAATAAATGATCCAAAATCTAATCTAGGAGACTGTGAAAAGTAGTAGTAGTAGCAAATTTGCATGGCAAGGTGGATCTTTGTCATGCATCACACCCCTGGTGAAGGTTCAACTCTAATTTCAGTTCTGTTAAATTATGTTTTATAATTACAAATTCTACAAAAAATTATAAAAACGAATTTGTCATACAATAATTTATTATATGTGTATAATTTGTCTTGGTATAATTTTAGTTAAGGTATCAAAACAAAGTATCAGTGGTTAAAAGTATACATGCAACAATTCTTGGTTTCTTAATAGTAGTGCTATTTCTGTTTATTATTATTTATTAATTTCGAAGTTTATAAATTATAAAAATATTTTATAATTTATAAATAGAAGATTAATCTTATTGAAATCAACCATTAGATAGTAGAATAAACTAGAATATATTGAAATATATTTAGGAAAGTTTATAAATTATAAATACAAGATTAATCTAAAGGAATAACAACTGTTAGATCATAGAATATTCCAAAAATTTTAAGCATGTTCTAAGTATATTCACTAAAAAGTTTGCTATGTGTTGGATGCAGCAATGTTTGGTATGCTTAATAGTAGTGTTATTCTTATTTATTGATTCTATTGGTCAAATGGAAATTTATAATTATAAATTTTTATATAATTTATAAAAAAGATTAATCTTATTGTATATCAACCATTAAATAGTAAAATAAAAAATAATATACTAAAAAGTGTTTAGGAAAATTTATAAATTATAACTGCAAAATTAATCTAAATGAATGACAACCGTTAGAAGGTAGAACATCTTAAAAATCCAAATATATTCTAGGTATATCCACTACCCTTATAGGTTTGCTTAAGAAAATAAAAAAATGACAAAAAATTGAAACTAAACTTAACCACTTCCTCTAAAGCTAGCCTTTGACTCTTAAATTAAATGCTTGAATCCATGTTTTTGAGGCTTATTGACACAAGTTGTAGTCATGGCCCTTGCAAGAAATCTTCCAAGCCCTCCAATGACCTCTTCTACTCCATTGGCTACTGCTCCAAAGGTATATGTAATATTAATACATATACTAATCTATCACAATAAGGAGGAGTTGCTGAACTTTTTGGGCCACTAGATCCAGCCGTTTAATGGGGGATAACTGTAAAGGGGTTATTTCTTTAACCACGTGTTAGCGAATAATCATATTGATGTTTGCTCCCGGCCAATAGGAGGCAGCCAAGCTGCGTGGGGTGAGAGAAGAGGTGCAGTAACACGTGTCACATGCAAAGTGTACTGTCCCTGTCATGGGCATCAAGATCACTCGAGCAGCAACAGCAGCCCAAGGCCTTGAGGAAGATTTGGTGACTAGAGTAGGATCGATCATCCTCCTGGTGGTGGAGCAAGGTGTCACAGCATCTGGATGCGCTGCTTGCCTTGTTCATTAGCCATGGTGACAAAATCTTCAGCATGGAGATGCAATCAAGCAGCGAAAGAAAAACTATAGCTAGGTTATACTTCTCAAGATCATCTCCCAGGATTGCCAAGAGCTTTTCAGGAAGCAATGCAAAGAGCCCATCATCAAGAAATCCATTGAGAAGAGGGAATTTTTGCTAAACCATTTGAATTGGAAAAGACACATAACTGCAATTTTTGCTGGTGTGATTTTGCTCACAACTCCTATATTTGTGGCCAATGCTCTCATGATATGCTCCTGTCTTTTGAAAGAATGTTGGTAATTTTATTCTTTTCTTTTGTCCTTCAAGAAAGACAAGTGTTGTTTTATTTATTTTTCTCTAGATTGGAGCTCACTCGATGCATTGCAAATCCTTTGTGCTCGCAAACTTGTAATGATCAACTTGACAAGACTAAGTGCCAAGTAAGTCTTGAGATTTTGTGTAAAATTTCTTTTGGATCAATCAATTGTTGTGATTCAAGAATACTTTCAAATAAAATATGGAGACATTTTTTAGAACAAAGTGGTGGATGAATTTAACAATTGCGCAGTAAGCCACAAGACAAGGGGCATTTCCCAGTCCCACCACCCTGGGGCTCGTGAGTGTTGGGAATACTAAGATAATGTATGCAATATTTGATTAAGTAGTAATATTTTAAAATCTTTTTCCTAATTGTAAAAATAGTTTATTAGTACATAATACTATGGAATTATAGTTTTGATAGCATATATATTTACAAAAGATTTTGTTAGTAATTATTTTCTCGACTGAATCTGGGTAGTAATATATGAATTTTTCTAAAAACTTATTGTTTTATATTCTAAGTAAACCACATAATTAAGTAATGTCATGCTAATAATAATGAGTAATTATTATTCTTAGTAATTTTTTTCTTAATATAAGTTTATCTCAAGTAAAAATATAATTTATATATAACATATTATTAATAATAGAAATTTTATTTTTACTTTTTTCTGGTCGGGTAATTTTCTAAATATATTCATATTTCCAAATAATAATTTGTATTTAATATTTTTATTAATAAATATTTATTATTACTTTTATCTGGGAATATATTTTGTTCTAAATATTTATATTATCAAGTTTACAAGAATTGATTTTTGTGTTCACCTAACATTTGCTGGGCATAATTCCCTCAATTCTTCTTTCAAAGTGAAATACAATATTTATTTTGATACTATTCCATTTTTAGTTTTTAATATAGCAAAATTATAACAATCAATATAACATATACTGGACAACATATGCTAACTAATACTAACTTTTCTTTATTAACAGAAGGTCTAGAAATCTACCCATGAATGCTTCTTTAGCCGCAGCTGTACATTGTGGGATAGAATTAGTGCGCGCTGTAGCTGTGTAATCTCATGAGTTCTTGGGAATTGAATTTCAGTCCAAAAGTGATTGGGGTAAAATTTTAGGGCTCGATGGTTTAAGCTTCAGGTCCTTTTTCTTAACTCCTCCGTTGTTAGAAGGATGAAATAAAAAAGTAGTCTCGGAGGAAATCGAGACAAGGCAAATAAAATCTTCGAATATGCTAATCGCAGTTTCAGTTTGAGCAGCTCTGACAACGATGGAACATCTGGTATTTCTTGAAATTTTTGTTCACTTTCCATAGTTTTCTCGCCTGCTTCGACGTACTGACAGTCATATTGCTATATATTTATCTTTAAACGCCCAGTCCGGCTGGCTGGGATGATACATCGTCTCGTTCTCGGCTAAAGAATAATTTATCAGGTATGCCTTATAGATTTTGCAAAAAACAAAAAGAACAGAAATAAAGAGAAGAAAAAGAAATAGCTGGTTTCTGATTTTCATATTGTTTAATTTTAGAGAAGGCATTTGGCGTTGCCTGCGTCTAAACACTTGGTGAAGCTTGTAGCCGGCACTTGCCTTACCCCAGTTGCTATGCCATGGGCAGCCCGCCGGCTGAAACTCTACGTAAGCGACAAACTCGAGCCAACTAAATGAATACAAGGCACTGACGCTGGGGTTTTAACAGGGATGTTCGACGCACCCATCAAGCTTCTGCTTGTCATACTTCTCCGCTTCTGCCCCTCGTGCAAATGTCTCATCGACATCGGGTTTCCAGGCGATCCTGAGATTGTTGTTGACTCGAACTTCAGCTGGACGCTCAACGGGGACCTCCATCCGTTTCTCTGCCAGAATTTATCCAAGCGTGCCTTCTCTGCGGGTTTTACTGGCAGCAAAACAGGTCTCTTCTACTTGGCGGTGTATTACGTGAAAGCAGGCGGTGAAAATCATGCCAGCGAAACCAGCGCAGTGTGGAAAGCAAACAACGGAAGGCCGGTGCCTCTCGGTGCAAGTTTGAAGCTCCAAGTCGATGGAAACTTGGTACTCTACAATCCTGACGGCACCGAAAGCTGGTCGACTAAAACGTCTGGACTTGGTGTGGCAGGCATGCGGCTGAATCATACTGGAAACCTTGTTCTTTACAGGGAAGATGACCAGGTTGTGTAGCAAAGCTTTGATCATCCTACGGATACTCTTGTACCTCACCAGCTGATGAAAACGGGGATGAAACTTGTTTCCAGCAGTCCCGGTGGAACAGGTGAAGGATACTTTTCATTCGAAGTACAACCTTACGCATTGGTTTTGTCCGCTCAGTCGCCTCTGCAGCGCTATGGAGTGTGGAAGTTCGACCAAGAGATTGGTTTTGTTGGCGTCAACTCTTCGAGCTTCAATGTCTACAACAGGAAAATGACAGTTATTCAGTCGGTAGCACTGAGCATAGTCTACAGTGTGAGGAGAATACAGCTCTTCTCTACTGGAGAAGTGGTTGCGGACATCGACTGGGACATCCTCGATCTGACCAAGTTCTTCAATGGCTGGATTGGCTGGGATCTCTCTTATCGGGGGGTCTGCGGAAGATACAGTATGACCAGGGAAGGTGAGTGCCATTGCATAGGCTTGAAGTCTGACAAAGGCACGTAAACCTACTTGGAACCAGTGGATTCTTTGGACGGCACACTTGGTTGCCGTCTTTCTCATGAAGGGGACATAGCTATGGAGTACAGGTTGGTGGCAGGGGATAAGTTCTACGACTACTTGCCGCTCAAGTTCATGCAAGGAGCTATCTTGTCACAGGCGGACTGCCTGGAGACGTGCTTGACGAATAGTTCGTGCAAGGCAGTTCTTTTCGAGGACAACAATAGGACGTGCTTTCATCTCACGGAAGTTTACACACTCAACGTGACAAGAGCTCCAGCGTTCTCGGCATTTATCAAGGTGAAAACCGGGGAGTCTAAGTTGGTAGTACACAATGCCAAGCATAGCAAAGCCGGAGTCCTTATAACGGCAGTCCTAGGGATTGCTGCGCTCACAGTGACAGTCATCGTATCAGCGGGTGCTTATTGGAAGAACAAGGTTGATTTCTACTTCAAAAGCCGTCGACAGCGCTCGCAGGCTATAGTCTCTGGTGCTGCACAAGCTCCACGTCCTTTCAACTTGAACGAGCTGGAAATGGCCACGAGAAACTTCAGCAAGAGGATTGGCAGTGGAGGATTCGGCACGGTTTTCGAAGGATCTCTGTCGGATGGATCCAGGATTGCTGTCAAGCGCCTTGACGATTCAAACCAAGGCGAGAAGCAGTTCAAGGCGGAGGTGAGAGCCATTTGCAACATCCATCACAGAAACTTGGTCAGCCTGAGAGGCTACTGCTCGCAAAAACCACACCACTTTCTGGTTTACGACTACGTCCACAATGGCTCGCTCGATAGGTGGCTCTTCGACAGCAGCAAAGCGAAGAGCCTGGATTGGAACCGGAGGTTTTTGATCGTTCAGGACATAGCCAGGGGCCTCGCATATCTTCACGAAGAATGCAGCAGCACAGTGCTCCACCTCGACATCAAGCCTCAGAACGTACTCCTGGACGAGAGCTTCACGGCAAAGATCTCCGACTTTGGACTGTCCAGGATGCTCGGAGGCGATGGTAGAACAGACAATGCGGTGACTGCGATCAAGGGAACTCCAGGATACATGGCTCCAGAGTGGCTGACACAAGCGAAAGTTACAAAGGCACTGGATGTCTACAGCTTTGGGATTGTGGTTTTGGAGATTATCACAGGCCTCAGTGCCGTGGATGAGAGGATGAGTAGGCAAAATGTATCAAGCACGCTTAAGGTGGTGATAGATCAAGGCATGGATAGGACCAAGAGAAGCCAAATAGAGAATTTGATCCAAATTGGATTGTGGTGCACGAAAGTGGAGCAAAGCCAAAGACCTTCGATGGTGGAAGTTGTCAAGGTGCTAGAAATCTAATGTAGTTCATTAATTATTATCTAAGTTAATATTAGTTTAGTCTTGGGAATTTGCCCTAATGGAGAGGCTCGTGAAAAAATATGAGCAGCGATACAAGAGAGCCAACGAATGTCTGGCGCGATGGAATACCTCGCAAGCTAAGTTGCTGGGTCTCTTCTCCAATGCGGCGGCTGTGATCCAGCGTTTCCCGGTATGGTTTTAGATTTCTTCCTGGTTGATTTTCTCCATAGCTTCTCCTGTCCAGGGATTGTTTTGAGGAATTGGAAGGGAGGGATGATCTCGTCGGGAAACAAGCCGAGTCGCTGGAGAAAATCTTGTCCATCATGCGTGAAACACTGTAAGTGATTTGCTCTTGTTTGTGTGTCCGATCGATCTTTTTGCTGTTTTTTGTCATTCAAGGCTGGATCTGGAGGATGTTTGCAAAGATTTTGAGAAGCTGTGGCGAGACGCGGCCAATCTTTTGAAGAACGAGAAGCCCAAGCCTACAAGGCAGCAGCTCCAGCAGCGTTTTGGTTCCCGGCCCAGTCTAGAAGATTGCGTCAGTGGACTCAAAGAATTATACGCCATGCACAGAGACGAGTAAGCTCCTCAATTTTTCATTTTTTCTTTGGGTTTTTTTTTTTTTTTGGCAAGTTTGCCTGGGTTGCCAAAATACTTGTTTTTTTTCTTCAGGAAATGTTCTAATCGAGTGCTTTGCAGATATGCTCTCAAAGCCGATATTATTTCCAGTCTGACTTACGACACAAAGGCAAACGATATTGCTGCAATGCAAACTGTTTTGGCGGATCAGCCCAACCTTCCTCCGGACGAAGGTACCTTTTTTTTTATAAAAACACAACAAGAGAAAAATGAAAAAAAAAAAAAACAAAAACTGTGATTGTGAATTGCCACAGTCGAAACAATTTTTAATATGGTATTTGCTGGAGGAGGACGCTAAAGAACAAAAAGAAAGAAGAACAAATCATATACAAAGGTACCCGTTTGAGCTTAAGAAAATTAGATTCCCCGAGGCGACGAGTTCTATCTAGGACCGATCAAATCTTTTCAATAGGGAGGTTCCAGTGATCCACTCGGAAAGGGATGGGAGAACCGATAAATTTAATTCCCCGTATTCACTGGAGGGGGAAGAAGAACAACCAAATATATTGGATCGGATTCTCCTTGTAGAGGTACTTTGTGAGGTTACAGCGCACCAAAGCTCATTTGGTTTGATATCTCGAGTAGTAAAAGTTTGGTAAAGGCTCTCCTCAAACGCAGGAACAAACGGGACGATTTACTTGGATCGAGCTTTTGGAGCTTTGTAAGGAAGAAGAAGAAGAAGAAGAAGATCAGAAGACAGACAGGAAAGGGATGGCAGAACAAACATGACTGTGTATCAAATTTGTTTCTTCCTGGCTCTTTGCGCTGTTTTATTGTGGTTGACACTATCCCACATGGTCCTCTTTGAAATACAAGGCACGGGACGAACAAAAATTCTAAAAGAGACAGCAAAGCTATCGTTGAACAGTAGAGAAAAGAAGAAAAATGTGCTGATGAGTCCGTAATATCTCAGATAAAAATGAAAAAAAGAAAAAAGAAAAAAAGGAACGATGGATCAGAAAAAGGAGAGTCAATACCCGAACCATTAGCCTTGCCTGGTCTGGAAAAACGGAAGTTTGTCGATGGAAATATTCTGGCCAGAGGCGAGGAAGGATCGTCTGTGGTGCGCTCTTGACTCTGTCCTTTTTCTTTCCCGTGTGATGTTTGTGAGTTTTCTCCTCCTCTGTTTGTCTTGAATGCTGCGATCTTCACCATGCCTGTAATGCCTGTACTAGCTCTTTCTCTGTCCAATCCGAAAGCTATATCGAAACCACTGTAGCTCTTTCTCTGTCCAATCCATGCTCGAGACTGAAACTTAGCAGCAGCCGAGAGCGGTCTTGATGCGTTGCACGGTGCTGGAGATGAGGCTGTTGACAGTGGCCACGGACTCCAAGTTTAGCTTGGCGGTGGGGACGTTGCTGACTAGTATCTGGAAAGCCACCGTGAGGAGAGCGCCGCTGCTAGAAGAAGAGCTTGCCTCTGCTAGATCAGCAGCACCGCCACCGCCAGCACCGCCACCCTCTTGCGTTGTACGTTGAGATACTGCTCCATCCGGTGAGATGGCAAATCCTGACGGTAACAGCGCCACGGTGGCTGGATCCCCTCCTTGCATCACCAGATTCATCGCCGGAATATCTACGGGAGCGTAAACTATGAGCGAGCCGGATGCATCGGTACAGCTCTCCTGCAAGATGAGCATGTTACTCTGCGACGTATTCAATGCCTGCCGTAGTAAAAAGGAGGCAAAAAAAAAAAAAAAGGTTAGTAGTCGTCCAAAGCTGCTGCTTTTAAAGTGTGTGCTTACACCAACGCGGAGGAGCGAGACGACGCAGCCCGGGTCTTGGCCGGTTGCAACTCGTGCTATCTCCTGGACTGCACCACCGTTTGAAAGGATATCCCACTAGAAACGTAAATGTCATTTGTAATGAGGGACAAGAAGCTGGGCTTACCTCGCTTCGCAGCCTCTCGTCCCGGAGGAACTCGAACAGGCGCTGCGAGTTTACCGGCACCCACAGGGACGTCGCAGCGCTGAGAACAATGCCGGGAGGTTCACCTGGATTGTTGACGCTCTTACGAGTCATTACGCGGATGTCCTCTTCGCCGGCGCCAGAGAGCGTGGTCCATGTGTGTACAATCGAGGCACTAACACCGGCGCAGTAGTTACTCGTCATGCGCTGGGCAAGGAACAGCATGCTCCGTCGACCATTTGCATTTGGAATGACTGCAACCAAAAGGAAGAAAAAGGAAAAGCAACACTTTAAAGCTTTAGGTGGCAGGACAAATGAATTCAAGCATACCACCCAGATCTCTAGCTGATATGTTGTTGGTTAGCATGATTCCCAGCCTCTCGCACTGACGCTGCAAGATGGCGAGCCATCTCTTTGCGCCGAAGGCCGCACCACTGCACACCAGCCCATGATATATGTTTTCAGTTTGGCGGTGATCGGCTTCTATGTGTTGCACTGCCGTCACCTACAGGAAGACCATGCGAATGAAACTGTACAGGCTCGAGAATAGCAAGACGAACCTTTGAGTATCCATTTTGCAAGTCTTCGATGAAGAAACCAGAAGGACGCATCCTGCACCGCAATTGCGGGGCCGGATTATCCCGAAGGCCGTCGATAGAGACGTCAACAATCGCCCACACGCGTTCGGAATGCTGCTTGCAGTACCTGAGAAAGAAGAACTCCCGTGTAGGAACCAAAGGCGAAAGGATTTGCAATTCTGCATACAACTATCGGGCAGTTTTGCTTGATGTTTCCAGCCTCGAAAAAACAAAATGTAAAAGTCAAGACTTTCTCACCAGTTGCAGCGCGTTGTTCCAATTGCCGCCGACGCCAGTTGTGAGAACTTGCGTAGTAAAAGCTCTTGACACTATGTTCGAAAACATGTCGACCCATCTGCCCTGCAGAACCTTGGAATGGTTAAAAAACTGCGAAAAAGACACACTCGGAAGTACTCACAACGTTCATGATGGTATCAATCAGCCCCGCTGCATTCATCATGACCAGACCAGTCTCTCTTGATGCTTCTGTTTCCATTCCCATCAGCCTTGGCCCCAGACCTCTTGGAAATTGTCTGAAATACTCCTCCTGACTCAAAACTTCTTTTGTTCCATCCACACTACTCCACAGTGCACCGTCTGTTTCAGCTGCAACCAGCAGCAGCTCTTCCATCGCAACTATTGCAAGCTCTGCGATAACTGGTTTCTCGGATTCCGTCACGCCGCCCGGTCGACTAGCCATTTCTAGAATGGATGGAACCGCGACGGAGTCCGACGTTCCAGTTGCAGTGATATCGAAGGGAAAATCTGGGAGAATGTTCAACGGAATGGCCGATCGAGTTATGTACTTCGCTACCAAAGCCGACACTCTATTCAGCTGCATCAAAGACACGAAATTCAGCGTTTCGACCAGGCAGGATAACATTGCTCACCTCATCTCTCAGACGAGCATTTTCAATCCGGAGCTGCTGCTCGGTGAAAGACATCTCTCCTGGCGTAAGCTGCCCTCCACATTTGGGACAGCTCGCATCCTTCAGGGCCTCTCGCAATGCGATGTTCTCAGTTCGCAAGTTCTCATTCTCAGCTCTTAAAATGGAATTGTCTGCCCGTTCGTGATGAGCCTGCAATCATGGATCATCTTCTGAACAAGAAAAAAAGCACCTGATGGCAAGGCAAACACCTTCATCTGAGTACGTCGATTCTGAAACCAAAACTTGACCTGTCGTGGTTCAAGTCCGAGCTCTCTGCCGAGTTCTTGCCTTTGTTTCTCATCGGGATGAGGACACTCCTTAAAGAACCTGTGGAAAAAACCCGTAAATGACGAGAATTCAAGCTCATGTACCCACATCTCCAGCTGCCGTGTTTGCTGGACGGTGTGACGATGATATCTTTTCTTAGATGCTTGCAGGTCCGACTGATCTTCGAAATCATCACCAGAAGCACCCTCCATATCTCTCTCAGGTTTGGTTTCATTACTCTTCAGCAATGAGCTTCCTGTTCAGCCTGAATTCCTGGAAGCGCTTTTGAGATGCTCACGCACAGCAATTCTCTTGCATTGCCATGGAATTCTGCACAAAATCCCGTCAATGACATCTTCAAATGGAGTGCATTCGCCATGAATTGCCACCGACACTGACCAGGCCCCGAAAATTTCTAAAGTTTCTCTCCCTAGTGCCTTGCATCAGTCTTGTTTCATGGATCTGAAATGGAAGAACCTACAAGAAACACTATCGATGTCAGCTGAGATAGTGCACTAAAATCACTTACAAGTTTTCTGAAGAGCCTTCAACGAGCCGCATAAACTTGAAGCCAACAAAGTGCTTTAAGACAACGGAACCTTCGGCATCTTCTGGCACAAGAAGTAGCGAGAGAAGCGAAGCTCAAGAATGAATAGGGAGGAGTCCAGTAAGAGCAGCGAAGCATAGCTGGATTCTATGTATGAATATGAAATCGAGGTACAGGGGCCCATTAAGAAGGAACAGTTGTCCAAGAATACAGAAAAAACAATGCAAATGAAAAACTAGAAAAAAGGCTTGAGATTCAAGTATAAAATGCCAGGAAAGGATAAAATCATGTCATGAGCGGCATGTTTTAAGCGTCTGTGGTCAGCAAAGTGAAACATAATCTTGACTTCCAGAGGTACGATTTGTTAAGCTTACCGGGGACTTGCTCCCACCCCTTAATAGAGTCGGTCAGAATATGTACCGCAAGTCTTTTGTTAAACCCGTCTAGACTTTCTCTGCAAGAAAGGTACTGGTGAGGAAAATGCAAAGAAAACGCAAAGGAGGCAGAACCTGTTGATATTGTGGTGTTGTGGGCCTCTATCTTGACCTTTGTTTTGCCGCATTAAGCTTTTCTTTCTACTTTTCTACCCCCGACTGTTCTGGAACGCTGCAAAAAACACCGTCGCCATTTTCTTCCTGCCATTTTGTTGCCTCGCATACAAAAGTCAGTAAAACCACCAGAGAAAAATGTCGCAAACCTGATTGAAAAATTAGTCTTAGTGTCAATCTTTTGCAGCTTTGACACTGCAAGAGCACGTAGAGACTGTTCCCTGCCTGCCCTGCACAGTCTTTCACCTTGCACTGGTCAATTACACAGATAGGAAGCCTCTACCATCTTTTGAGCAGCTTAAACTACTCGCTCGAGCTTAGCGTTTTGGCCTGTGCAAGACTTCTGGAGTCGTCCTTTTCAGCCAGTGCAAGCTCAACCGACCCCTCTGACTTTATGTTACGTAAAAAGCCATCTTCTGTTCATATCTTTTTGTATCGCCATGTAGAGGAAAGGGATGGCCGGTCACGTTGTCACTGGAGGTGTCCACGCGATCTTGTGAACTTTCAAGCCGGTTAATGGGTCTAGAAAAAAGGAAAGAGCAAAAAATCAGAAGAAAGAGAAGACAAAGAAAAAGAAACCTTTGCTTATCGAAACATTGCCACATTTTTTAGGCTGAAGCTCGCAAGATTCTTCTAAGCCAACTGGATTGATCGATCCTCGCGACTCAGAATATCATAAGGAGAATTGCATGGAAAAACCTGGAAGCCAAGCCATTGGCGCCACGAAATCCTCGCGGCAAGCGCCAGCGCCATCGCTCGCGGGTCCCCATCGCAGCTCGCGAACAAAGACCCTTAGGGCAAGACCAGAAAATGGCGCCAAATTTCTAATTCGCTAACTGGTTAGAAAAAGCGAGAGGGGTTCGATACTCGCTCGCTGCCGGACAAACGCGAGAAGGAAGAAGATTCTTCCATTCCCTTGGCAGATGCATGGTTCTAACGTCCTATCCTTGCCTTCACAGACTGGGATAGAGGAGCTGTCCCAAAGGAAGATCTCGCGAGAAGACGACTGGAAAACTTTTCTTTTCCGGTGTGGGCATTGGAAATCTCGCGGTTCTAGCTATCGAGCGATAGCAGTAGCACAGCGCCTATCCAAAACCACACCAATCATAACCCTGGCCAAGCAACGCGAAAACAAAAACCACCACCACGCAAAAAGACGTAAGTCTTAAGCCGAGTGATGCGTCATTCTGGCCTACCTGAGAGAGCATGTACCGCGCGGGCCAGGAAATCGAGGATGTGTGTCCAGACGAGTCTCTTTCCTGGCTTTTATTGCCGGTTTCTAAAAGATCTCACAGAGAAAGAGCCAGTCCAGCTTAGTAAGGAAAAAAAGAAGAAAAAATCCAGAGGAACTTACAACGTCAAAATCAATGTATCTTTGGATCACCGGTGGTTGAAGCGCTCCGCGTCTCACTTTGATCATGCAGCGGATTCTACAGAATCCGCTGTTTGGACGGATCCCGCCACCGTGAGAAGATAGTCACAGTACTGGCTGCTCTGGTGCTTGGACCGGACTTCCGTGACAATTTCCACGACCAAAGCGGGGCGTTTTACTGCGCAAACCTCGACAGCTTTGCAAACCGACTCCTGTGGAGAGAAGTTGCTTAGGCTAAATGACTGCAAATTATTGCTTGATAGTACCTTGATTTGCTGGTTCTGGTCGTCCATGTGTAGGACGAGACTGCTTAGACAGCTCTTGAGCTGCAGCGTTCAGAGGTAAGTATCATGGAACAAAATTCGATTTTATCCCACCTCTGTGCCAGGGTATGCCGGAGGAAGCGTGCTCAGAAAGAGGGACAACGATCTTAATATCCCAAGACGGACGCCATCATTGCTATCGTCAAGTCGCTTTTGGAGAACTGCTCCGATCTTAACTCGGTAGTCATCTGTAGGAAAGCACGGACGATCGTAAGAAGCAAGGCCTACATTTGAAAAGCTACCTCTTAAACTGTTTCCGGCAATGCGAATGATGTTCTCCATGACATGACAAGTAACTCGTCGCGTATCAACGTAGAAATCTTCCTCCAGACAGGATATGACAACAGGCAACGTTTCCCCCGTTTCCAGGATGTCATTCAGATCTTTCTGAAAGACGAATGTAAACATCAAAGTCATATGTTAAAGGAAGCACTTACTTGAGTACAAAGACCGCGTCTTAAATACGTCCCAACTGCAACCATAGCCGCATGTCTGACTGCAGCTCCAACCTGTAACAAGCGCTTTAATCATCTGAAATCCGTTCCCGAATGTCCAACCTTTCCTGCTTGCCATATGCCGCATGGAATCAAAACACTGACAATGACTTCCTTTGCTAAGGAGCTCCACCAAGATTCAAGGCCAGAAGTTTCAAATAAGTCGTCCAAAAGCTAAAGCCATGGAAATATCAGCAAGTTACATACAAACTTCAATACTTACATGCAAAAGAGAAAGACGCAGAGAAGGATCTCTTTGGGGTTTTAGACAGCTCGCAATAATTGGAAGTATCTCCGCTAGATATGAGCCGGCCTGCAGACAGTAAAGTAAGCACAAGTTCGTTCACATGGTTTGATCAAAGTACTAAATGGCCAAGATTCTTCAATACGGCTTCAAAAAGATGTCGCCCTGGCGAGTTTCCTAGCCATTCCTCGTGTCGAAGGATTGCTCGATCAATCAGGTCCCTTGTGTGACAAGCATACAGCTGCTCCAATGACTCGTAGCCAGTGACATGAGCAAAGGTTTCTATCAAAGAAGCAGCATCCTGGTGTAGTTTGGCATCATCTTGAATACATTGAAGCTGCATCAATAATCAAGTCAGCAAAGAACAACATTCTTCAAACAAACCTGTAACAATAAAATCAACATCTCTTTCGAAGAGACTCTGGATATCGGGCCCGCTTTTACGACAACATTGGTTAAAACAGCCAAAAGCTACAAGAAGAACAGCGTCAGAGAGTGGAACCAAGGAAAAAATATTTCGAATCAAGAACCTGTCGTCGTACTGCTAGGCTTTCATCAAAAGACAAATTAGCGTGACATAGCCCTTGCAAAATCTGCAAAACGGAACGGTTAAGTTGTCCTACACGAGGCAATTGCATAATACCTGAATAACCAGGCCTTCATGAACATTCTCGTTCGGCGTACCATAAAGCAAGCCAGCGAATACGACTAATCCATTTGCTCTCTGCAGTTTCCAAGCATGCACTCAAGTGTTTCATATAAACTGTAGCCATACTTGCAAAGCTGTAGACCGATCGCTGATTATCGAATCCATGATAAGATCCAACCAATGCTCCGGAGCATTGTTAAACCCCAATATTTGCGAGGATTTTACTACGTGTTGTGCTACTCGAACATCGTCATCTGCAACAGCACTGAATGCAAATACTAGCTTTTCAAAAGTTAAACTCCAAAATAAGAACCTGCAGAGGGAAGGAATGAGAACATCCAGGTGTCGAGAGGAATGACTTTCTGCGAACACCTGTTAGAAAAGAAACATGGTAAGGAATAATCACAAGAAAGAGAAATAATCGTTACCAGAGTAGTTTGCAAAAGTCGAGCAGCACCCAAGCGCGTAGTAACTGTCCAATCACGAAAATCCTTCGAACAGTCGTAAACTATTTGCTTGAGGTGTCGCTAATATAAGTTGATGGTAAGAAACAACTTATGACAGCACAAAACTGATAAACCTGTATCATTAAGCGTGAGCCATAGCCAGGCTCTGTTTCGAAAGGTAGTGGAAGAACATTAGAATCATGCCTCCAGGTCTGTAAGTTCAACGTTATTACATAAGTGACACAACAAACGTTACCTTCTCTTGCACCGAATCATGAGCATTCCAGTGCTTGTAAACTTCACCTACACGATAAACCATTGCCAAAGTCGAGGTAGAAATCTCTGGTGAGTCATCTCCAATTCCAAGTAGAAGCAACGGCAAGAGCAACGGCATATAGGCCGTCTGATTCTTTGTTTCAGTCATTGGGCATGTTTCATCTGGCTCATACCCAAGCCATAGAGCAACATACTCAAAAAAGACCTGCGTACAAAGGATCTAAACCTCTGAGAGAGAGAAAAAAAATGGCTTATTTACCTTTCTCACTGCATCGGAATGATCAAATGCAACCGCTTTGACGCCCGGAGCAACGTGTTGGGCAATCATACCAGCCGGCAAACCGCATAAAACAACGTCATTGAGTGCAGATACAACCGCAGATCGCACCTGTGCAAAACATATCAGTTAAACTTTCTTTTGCAGACATCTCTACAAACCCGTGAGTGAGCGTGCAAAATATTCGGAAGTAACGCGTGCAGTATAGCATCTGCATTCTCGCCTAAAACATCAGGTGCACGACTGCATAGTCTAGACAGCAGCGCACAAGAAGCTTTTTTAATTTCGTGAAAAGAATCCGACAACGTCACGCAGATTACCTGCAAAAGCAGCCAATTACAACACAAAAGAGAAAGAACACTAACGCTGACCCTTGTTATGTGCTCAGAGAACTCACGAACGCTCTCCACTGAGCACTGACAAATTATAGCATTGAGCAAGTTGATTAAACTTAGACGTATCTCTTCGGAATGTTCAAGCACTGGAAGCTGCCCTGCCACAAATTTTCCAGATTAAAGAAAAAGGGAAAAATCATCACAGGACGTGATTACCAGTCCGCTCAGCTATTGCAGGAACCATCAAAAATGTTGTTTGCTCCACCTGGATCAAAAACTTTAGTACAAAAGTATTGGAATCTAAGAAACATACCTCTGCTAAAAGCTTCACAACTCTAGAAATCATGTTCACGGCAGCTTCTCGACACCTCTCCACGGGGTCGTGAAGGTTTCTTACGACCAGCTTCAGTATCGTCTCGTCCCAAACAATCTAAAACATCAACAAAAGATTTTTTGCTTGGGAGATAAAAAGAGGAAAGAAAAAATACCTGGAGCATAGCTGGAGAACGAGACTCGATAACAAGAAGCTTGTCAAGGCGCTCCAATGCCTTTCGCCTGGTGTTTCGATCCGGGTCGGAGAGGCAGTTTAAATCTCTCTGGATCGTCTGGAAGTATGAAAATCCACTACTGGAGCTCAATTACCATGGCGCGATTCAATGCGATCGCTTACCTGGACGAAATCCGCGGCAGCTATGGCTTGATCGACCGCATTCGAGGGAGCGTCATCGGCATCCATCGCGAAGAGCAAAATCCCTGCTAGGTAGGCTTAGGGCAAAGAAAATTTTAGAGGAAGAACAAAAACGAACAGTAAAAATATGTTCTTCTAGGTGTTCTTTGTGAGCTATGGAGTCTCCGTTTAACAGCGAGGCGCTCCAGGGCAAGGTAGCACTCGTCACTGGGGGAGGATCTGGGATAGGGTTTGAGATTGCCACGCATTTTGGCAAGCATGGAGCGAAGATCGCCATCATAGGACGCCGGAAATCGGTGCTCGATGAGGCTGTGGAGAAGCTATCCTCGCAATCCATCCAGGTAAGTTTCAAAGGGATCAATGAGCTTTGAGCTGGATTATCCCAGGCATTGGCAATCGAGGGGGACGTCCGCAAGGAAGAAGACGCAAAGAGGGCGCTCGATTCGACAGTAGCGAAATTCGGGAAGCTTGATATTCTGGTGAATGGAGCTGCGGGAAATTTTCTCTGCCTTGCCGAGGATCTCTCTGTCAACGCATTTAGAACAGGTAGACGCGATTCTTCTTTCTTTTCTTTCTTTTTCTTTCTTTTTCTTTTCTTTGGTTTCATCAGTTCTAACACTTAGAAAAAAATTGCAGTTCTTGAGATTGATACTGTTGGTACGTACAACATGAGCCACCATGCCATGCATTACTTGAAGAGCGGCGCGCCAGGAAAGAAATCCGGTGAAGGTGGTCTCATAATCAACATAACAGCCACTCTCCAATTCTCCGCGGCGTGGTTCCAGACTCATCTAGTTGCAGCAAAGGTAAGAGCTCGATCTAATATACCGTCTAAAAGAGTTTGCATTTTCGTTTTTTCAATCCAGGCAGCGATTGACAGCATGACAAGAAACTTGGCCCTTGAATGGGGAAAAGATTATAACATCCGAGTGAATGCTATTGCTCCAGGACCGATCAAAGACACTCCAGGAATGTCTAAGCTTGCTCCTGACGAGATAAACATTCGAGACAGTCCTCCTTGGGGAGAGAAATGGGACATTGCCATGACTGCCATTTTCCTAGCGTCAAGTGCTGGTATGTTGGTTTTGCGATGGCTTTTGTTAACTCTTTCGTTTTAACCAGGCAAGTATGTAAATGGAGCGATTATTCCTGTGGATGGTGGAGCCTGGTTTCACAGACCTCCACACTTTCCAAAAGAAACCATTCGTTCGTTGTCGAGAGTGGTGGAGAAGAGATCACGAGTCGGTTCTAATACCAAAAGCAAGCTGTAAGTATACGATAAACTTGTTTAAAATAACACAGTTCTTTCGCAATATAACACCATTTTTATTTTTATTTTAACTCGGTTTTTTTTTTTCCTGCTGATATATATTTTGCGTGTGAGTTTGAAGTTGACTTGAGCGTGGAAGCATGGATTGTGGGAGTAGCCATCGATTAGCCAAGGTACTCTTTGCTAAATACTCCAGTAACATACTAACTTCTTGACTCGCAGGTGAACGAGGCTGTGAAAGAGTTCGTGCCGAAAGACGAGTTTTTTTGCTTCCTGGTCCCCCAAGAAGGCGTACTGTCCGTAATGAGTTCGTCAATCGACTTCTGAAACCTTGCAAGGCTGTTGCTGTCTTGAAGGCCTACAAGAAACTTTGTTACGGTTTGCATGGTGGGCCTCGCTTCTGGTAGTTCATCGCAGCAGGACATGGCCATCTCCATTACAGAAAGCATTTGGTCCTGACAGAGCAGTTCCTGCTGCAGCTGTGGATCCAGAACATCAGTCCAGCGACCGCTCTCGAGAGCTCCTTTCGTCCAGTCTCGCAAAGTCAGGCCATCACCGAACTCAGTGCTCGTTGGAGACTTTCTGGTTAGAAGCTGCAGCATCACGATTCCAAAGCTGTAAACATCTGCTTCTGGCGATGGTTTCTCGCCTAAGAAAACCTCTGCAGCAAAGGTAACAAATGCCGTTTTCAGTACGTAACGCTCTAAAATCTTTGCGTTTTACCTGGAGCAGTGTAGCCTGGCATGAGCAGGAAACTGGTGATTCTCTTCTTCTGCCGCAACTGCTGCTCGACAGCTTTGGCGAAGCCAAAGTTTCCGATGTGTGCCTCAAACTCGTCATCGAGCAGAATGTTGCTGGGATTTAAGTCGCAGTGGACGAACTGCTGCTTGCAGTTGTGATGCAAGTAAGTGAGGCCTTGCGCAACTCCTACGGCTATCTTGTACCTCTTGCTCCAGTCGAGACTAATGTAAGTGTGCCTCTGCTGCAGCTTGCTGTGGAGGCTTCCCTTGGGCATAAACTGGACAATGACCGCCATGAAGTCGAGATTCGAGAAGTAGCCGAGAACTGGCAAGATGTTCCTGTGCCTGATGCGTCCCAGGACATGCAACTCCGTGAAGAAGCTCTTGTGTCTCACGGGACGTAGCTCTCGTCTTCCAAGCTCCAGCTTCTTGACAGCCACAACGTTTCCGTCAGGAAAGACGCCCTTGTACACGGTGCTGAAGCTCCCCCTGTCCAGGATGTTGCTACTGCTAAAATTCCCGGTAAGCGCCAGGAATTCGCTCTCGCTAAACTTAAGCATCTGTGGCAGCCGGAAGTAAGAAGAGCTATCATCGCCATCGTCGTCGAAATCGCCGCTGCGCATCGCTGCGTGAGAGATGAAGCTGGGGAAGAACTGTGCAAGCATCGAGCTTAAGAATCGTCGCCTCTCGTTTGATCCGATCGTTGCGCTACGAGACGCGTTGAAAGTCCTCGTCAAGCACAGGAACGCTTGGCTTTGTCGTCGGCCTTTACGTATTGTGTAAGTCGTTTGAAGCGATTCTTTCTAGATTTTCTCGTGTAAAAATGACGCCTTTGTTTTCTTCTTCTTCTTCCTTTCAGACCTCGAACGTTTTTTTTTTTCTTTTTTCTGTTTTCACTCCCAGTCACACGACGCGGTGCCAAAGTTCTTCACAACAACAAGTGGTTCTTCGCAAGACCCGCATCCCTTTCACACATTCAAATATTTGAATTGATTCCAATAGAATATGCGCGGCTTGTTTGTTGTGGGGTTGCGGTCGAATATTCCAGCACTGGAAAAGAAGGGAGGATTGAGAGAATTCTCTTTCACTCGTCTCCAGGCGCGGCAGATTGGAAGGCGCTTCTCTAGATCGCGTGGCGCCACGGCGCTCGATCGAATGCCATAGCTCCAGGTAAGCGCTTGCGCCATTCCCTAAGCTTTCTGACCTAAATGCGTCCCTCCCGATGGATCCATGAGTGCCAATGCTTCGTTGTCTCTTTCCTTTGCTCTAGAAATCCCTTGTTCTTGATTGTCCTGCCTTGATTTCCTTGGAGTTCTTTCTTATGCTTCTCTTGTTTGTAATGCCAGCTCTTTGGAAGAATAAATGGACGTAGCTCCTTTAGCTGGTGTCACTGGAAGGTATGTTGCTGCTGCTTCTTCTATTTTTTTTACTTTCTCCATCTTTTCTCAAAGTTGGCTTCTCTGGAAGCAACTCACAGGCTTTCTTGCCTCCAAACGAAATGTTGCGAAGCAAGCGTAAGATCGAAGAGGCAAAAGTTCCAAGTTTGCAATGGGCGATGCATTCCAAAGTCGTGCTCCGTGGTGGCGTTCCCTGCGACACGGCGGAGTCCGGCGTGTAGGTTTCTAGCTCTCTCCGTTCGTCTCACGGAAACGTCCGTGGTGCAAAGCACGTATGTCGAAGAGCCTCCAGAGCGGGAGGATCAAGACTACGACTTCGAGCAGATTGACTTTGCACAGAATGGAGCGTCTTCCAGCAGCACTGACATTTCCTCGGTCCCGTCGGATCGCGCCGAGGTACTGCCGTTCTTTTTCTTCTCCTTCCTTCGTCTAACAGGTTTTTTCTTCTCATTCTTAAGTTGCATGCCATAAGAACGAATTACATGAGGCAAAAGCTCTTGAGGAAACTTAGCGAGGTGAATCAATACAATCGTAGCCTGCAAAGAACGGTATGTATTTTTCTTCTCACTTTGGTGGATTTCTGCTAATGTTTTGACAGGTCCAAGAGTCGAATGATACGCTGCTCAAGTGCAAAGCGGAACTGGCGACGATGGAGCTAGAACTTGGCGTAAGAAAGAAAAAATCCACCATTTCCTTCTTTTTCATCCTTGATACCTTTTGTACATTACAGGTGCTTGTCAACTTGGCCCAAGAGGTTGCAAGGGAGGGAGGAAAGCTTGGATCTCGCAAAATCAATGGCAGATATATCCAGTCACACCTTGCTCACAGGCTCGAAGGTAAATTCTCGATAAGTTTTTCAGAAAAAAAGCGCTTCCCTTTTTTTTTCTCAGATATGCACAGTCGCTTGACATCACAAATCAGAGACGTGGATTCCGTGAGCTTGAGAGACGTTACACTAGAATGGTATGGAGTGGCAGAGGTACTAAAGTACTGCATTTGAGGAACTCTAGCCGAGCGAATCTATCCATTTATCGATTTTTCTCTATTGTCTCAGGACGTGCGAGTGATGGGATCCTTCGATGGCTGGACCGAAGGCGAGAGTCTATCTCCAGAACACACTGGAACATACGCAAAGTTCTCAGGCCTTCTCAAGTTGAGGCCCGGCAAGTAAGTTTCAGATCTCTCTCTCGATTCTTATCTAAGATTTCGTTCTTTCGAATGGATTTTTCAAATTTTTTCTAGCTAGGATAGAGAAGTTCTTTTGATTTTGGATTGTTGCAGTTACGAGATTAAATTCGTAGCTAAGGATCAGATTTTTCTTAGAAGTTCTTTTGATTTTCGATTGGTTTTTCTCTTGCAGTTACCAGATTAAATTCGTGGTCGATGGAGTGTGGCAAGTTTCTCCTCAGCTAGCCACTATTGGCGAAGGCCTTACTGTGAACAACTTACTTGTCGTGGAGTAAAGTTAACTTTTACTCAGAGTGTTTAAAACGAATATACAATTTCTTTTGGAGGTATATTCCCGCTCAAGAACCCCAGTTAGGGTTAGGGTTTACACTCCAGTTCTTGCGACAGCGATGGTGAGCGTTGTGACCATGTATCGCGTTTCCTGAGCGTTTTCTGGCAGGCCGATAAGCTCTTCAAGGATGACGCTGTGGAAGAGAAGGGCGAGCGCGCCAGAATGGTACTGTACTGCGGTTCTTAGATGTTTACCTGAGATTTCTTTGTGTTTAGGCGTCCTTCATTGGCGCTTTGGCCATTGTGGATCTTCTCAAGACCACATTGGGTCCGAAAGGAATGGTAAGTGAGAATGCTAGTTTTTAGTGGCTGCGGAGTTTAATGCTTTCGTTTTTTCCTGAAACTAGGACAAGATCTTGCAATCTACTAGCCGGGGACACTCTGTGTCTGTGACAAACGATGGTGCGACGATCTTAAAGTCGCTGCACATCGACAATCCAGCTGCCAAAGTCCTTGTTGGTAATGCCAAGAAGAGAGTGAAGTTTTGCGCTTTTTTTTCTCACTTGATCGTTTGTTTGATCCACAGACATTTCCAAAGTCCAAGACGACGAAGTTGGAGATGGAACAACTTCGGTGGTGGTCTTGTGCGGGGAGCTTCTGCGTGAAGCAGAGAAGCTTGTGAACTTGAAGATTCATCCGATGACAATCATCGATGGTGAGCATCTGTGTGGCTTCCAGCGGATTGATTGACGGACGGTTTTGCAGGCTACAGGATGGCCGTTGAATGTGCTCGTAGTGTTTTAGAGAAGAGGACCCGGGACAACAGAGCTGATCCAGGTCTGTTGGCACTGCTTCAATGTTTAGAGCTCAGTCTTGTGTTTGTCCATTGCAGAAAAGTTTCGACAAGATCTTATCAATATTGCTATGACAACTCTGAGTTCAAAAATTCTTTCTCAGGAGAAAGAACATTTTGCCAATCTTGCTGTGAATGCTGTGATGCGATTAAAGGTAAGTCTTTGTCTACATGCATCTACTAATCAGGCCTCTGATAAAAGGGAAGCGGGAATCTAGAAGCCATTCAGATCATCAAGAAGGCAGGCGGTTCCTTACAAGACTCGTTTTTGGACGAAGGGTAAACAAGTGTCTCTGTTGCATTCTCCTTTCTGACAATTTGTTTCGCTAGATTTATTCTTGACAAGAAGATCGGTGTTGGCCAGCCAAAATCGATACAAAACGCCAAGATTCTTGTTGCCAACACGGCAATGGACACGGACAAAGTAAAGATATATGGCGCACGCGTCCGAGTCGATGCCATGTCGAAGATAGCGGAGATCGAGGCCGCTGAAAAGGACAAGATGAAGCAGAAAGTACAAAAGATACTGGCTCATGGAATCAACTGCTTCGTTAACCGGCAGCTGATTTATAATTTCCCGGAGGAGCTGTTTGCGGATGCTGGCATAATGGCTATCGAACACGCCGACTTTGAGGGAATCGAGAGGTTGGCGCTGGTTACAGGCGGCGAGATTACATCGACATTTGACAATCCCGAGTCTGTTAAGCTGGGACACTGCGATCTCATTGAAGAAATCATGATCGGAGAAGATCGACTTATTCGTTTCTCTGGCGTAGAAATGGGAGAAGCGTGCACAATAGTTCTCCGGGGTGCAAGGTATGCATTGCCTCTTTGTTCTTTGTGAATTCTAACTTTTTGGTTTTGCTTTTTTGTAGCACTCATGTCTTGGACGAAGCTGAAAGGTCCTTGCATGATGCACTATGCGTGCTGTGTCAAACCGTTCAAGACAGCAGGGTCGTTTGGGGAGGCGGATGGCCGGAGCTTTTGATGGCAAGGCATGTTGACGAGCTTGCCAGGAAGACCCCGGGGAAAAAATCACTGGCTGTAGAATCTTTTGCTGCTGCTCTCCGAGCAATCCCGGCCATCATCGCGGACAACGCTGGACTAGATAGTGCCGACTTGGTTTCACGCTTGAGAGCGGAACACTCCAAAGAGGATTGCATGTCCGGCATTGACGTGCTAACTGGAGGGGTAAGTGTTTTCTTATTAGAATTGAGTCTGTTTTGTAGCTAGAGTTGAGGGGGGTTGTTGACAAGCGCTGGCCATGCAGGTTGGTGACATGGAGCAGCTTGGAATTTACGAAGCTTTTAAGGTGAAACAGGCGGTGATATTATCCGCAACCGAGGCTGCCGAGATGATCTTGCGTGTTGACGAGATTATAAAGTGCGCGCCTCGGAAACGCGAGGAAAGGATGTAATAGCTTTCTCTTTTTTGTCTTGGTTTCTTTAATCCATTTTTGTTGCTCATTGATATGAGAGCGTTGAGATGTTTCGAGTCCGCAGCAGCGAGATGGTTATCATTCCAGTGCTGGTAACTTTGCTCATCCTGTGGAAACTAATGTGCTCGTCACTGCGCAGCAAAAGGTCCATGTTCTTGAAAAGCTTAGATCCAATCCAACAGGCCTACACTCTGTACGCGCTCACTGCCTTCGTGGAGTTTCCATTTCTAACGAACAACGCTCTCGAGTTCGCGCTCTTTCGTACGGTATGTGATCCCTTCCATCTCCAGCATTCTCGTTCGCACAGGACAGCTTACTGGTGCCACTGCCAAGCGAGCGGAGGAGACGGGCATAGTGTTCCAGGAACTGATTCTCCATGTCGACAGTCAGCGTGGATCTTATGCCATTGGAACGGTGAACTTCGTGCATGGTCACTACAGGCCATCTTTACGCTCTCGCCCTCTTCGTTCTACAGCCTGCTGAGTGGGCCTCCAGGTGAGAGTTCTCTTCCTTGTTTCTTTTTCCTCTCTTTGGAAGTTTCTTTTTTGTCTTCAATCTTTTCCTCTTTGGCAAAACCCATGCTCTTTCTGACACGTTCTTCGTTTTTAGATTTGGCTTTAGAGACTGGACTGACGCCGAGAAGCTCGCAACTTACACATTATGGCACGATATTGGCATCGGCATGAGGATCAAAGGCATCCCCAGCACACTGCAGGAGCTCTCCGACTTCAAGGACGATTACGAGCGTAAAAACATGGTCTTTGCGAAAACCAACAGGGAAATTGTACCCCGGTAGAGCTGGTATTGTCTACTTTTCCATCTGTTCTAAAACCTCTGGGGAGAAGGCTTTCTTGGACAACCGGCTCCAAGAAGCTTTTGGCTACCGGAAGCAAAACTTCGTCATCACACTGGTCGTGGAGATGCTGCTCAAGTTGGTGTTCCGGAGCTCAATATCGATGCTCATGCCTCCGAGACAACTCTCCTTCTCGACTGCCAAGATAGTTCCAGATTCAAGTGAGAATCCAGGATTGGACGACCCGGACAGTCTCCTGCCACTAAAGTATCACAGTTACAAGCCTGCTTCGGCTACCGCCTCAGCCAAGTTGGAGGCTTGACACCGGAAGAATCTCCACGCCAACTTTTCCGGACCACTCTTGTGTCCACTTCGAAAGGCGACGTAAGTTGGCGGTGTCGTCTTCTGCCAGCCAAGTAACATCACACTAGAGAAGCAGCAGATAGGCAATATGCTTTTAGTTTCCGCCATGGCCACCGATTCTTCCAGCTCCAGCTCGGGTTCTTCCGTCGTGGTAGTGGTTCCATTGCCGGCTCAGGGACACACTCCAGCGCTTGTTCACCTCTCCAGGAAACTAGCCGCAGAAGGATTCTCCATCGTGATCGTCAGCGTCGAGAGCGTCCACAGGAAGATCGCTGCGAGATGGAAATGCTCGCCGCAGCTCGACATCCGGCTCGAGTCCATTCCGTTCACATCGTCCATTCCGACCAGGCTCGACGCTCAAGCTTTGAGCCAACGACAAGAGCTGCAGAAGGCTTTGTTTGAGCTCCGAGTTCCCTTGGAAGAGCTGCTGGTGTCCAGACTTATAGGCGAGCAGGGGCTGGAGATCAAATGTATCATCTCCGACTTTCATGCGGTCTGGACGACTCCGGTGGCACAAAAGCTGGGAGTTCCTCAGGTGTGCTTCTGGTCTGGATCTGCAGCTTGGGCTTTGATCGATCGTCACGTACCACTGCTTGTCGACTTAGAATACATTCCAGTACCAGGTATGAGTTTTTCTTTTCTTACTCGCAGTAACCAATCTTTCGTAGAAGCAAGTTCATCGCCTTGTGTGGACGACGATTCTACTACGCAAGGTAAGAAACTAGAAACTTTTCTAGCTAGCGTTTTCTTACCAGATTTCTTTCAAAGGTTGCAGCTTGAGAGGTGAAAAGATGATTTCTTTTATTCCGGGGATGGATCCCTTTCCAGCCTTGGATCTTCCATACTACCTCCACGAATTCTCCAAAGTGCCAGTGTGGAGCCTGGTTGCAAAGTCTCAACGTTTGAACACCGACAAGTGGTTCATCGCCAACACTTTCGAGTCACTGGAGCCGAGAGAAACACAGGCCATGAAGCAGCTACTGGGAGAGCAAAACTTCCTGGCGATCGGGCCTCTCTTGCCGCTGGATCACGAGGGGCTGGAACAGGTGGTGAGCCTGGAGGAGGAGGAGCTGGGCTGCCTCGAGTGGCTAGACTCCCGGCCGGAAGGATCGGTCCTCTACATCTCTTTTGGAAGCCTGGCGGTCCTCACGCAAGAGCAGTTCATGGAGCTGGCACTGGGAGTAGAGAGCAGCGGCATTTCATTCCTCTGGGTGATCCGACCAGCGTTCTTACCGCAGGGAGATCTTCCGACCATGGAGTTTTTCCAGGGATTTAGAGACAGGATGGTGGCGGAGAAGAGGTCGATCATCGTCCCGTGGACACCACAGAAGAGGGTGCTCTCGCACGCGTCCATAGGAGCGTTCTTGACGCACTGCGGCTGGAACTCGATCGTGGAGAGCGTGTGGAGTGGAGTGCCGATGCTCGGGTGGCCGTGCCACTCGGATCAAAACTTGAATTTGCGGCTGCCAGTGGAAAGTAAAGGGATTGGAGCTCGCGTTGCTTGTAGCTCCAGGAGGACGGAGGTGGTGCACAGGGAGAGAGTGAGGGCGGTGGTGAGGAAGGCGATAGAGGATGGAGGAGAGGTGAGAGGGGCTGTCCGTGAACTCCGGGATCTCGCGGTAGCGGCAGTGGTAGAGGGTGGAAGCTCGAATAGAGACATGGCCACCTTTCTCGAGAGATTGAGATCATTGTGATAGTATACAAAGCTCTTCCTTTTTTTCTTGGATCAAACAAATACAATTTTTCTAGGTTCAAATCATTGTGATAGTTTCATTGTCTCGTAAAATGTATACAGAGGTCCTCCTTTCTGAAACAACTATAATCTAGTGGCACGAAAAATCGTGTGCTCCACTATTCATCTTCGTCTTGGTCGTGGCTCGCAACACACTAAACACCAAAAAGCTTCATTCATCCCCCATGTCTCGTTCGTCAAGTACCAACGAAGTCGAAAATGGTTCTTTTTTGTGCTGGATGCTACAGGACGATGAGGACGATTGGCTGCAAGGAAGATCAAAATCCTCATAGCACCAAGGAAGAGAAAGAAAGAGCTTACCTCAAGCGCTTCTATCATCACCATGTCGAGTGTTCTGCCTTGCAGGAAATCTCACGACCACCAAGTCGAGATCTCCGACACGGAGTTTGAGGACTGCTGCAGCTCGTTGAATCTGGATCAAAGTTCGCCGCTCCACTGGACACAGATCACAGAAAGTCCTGAGCATTATGGTGTTATCTCAACACAGGAGATGATCCTTACCAAGAAATTCCGCAAGCAGTTCTACCATGGTGGCGATGATAATCAAGGAGCTTTACGTTCTTTCTCCGCCATGCCCGTGCCTGTGGAAGGGAACCAATCACTCCCAGCCAAAGAAGACGAAGATGAACAGCGCTTACCTTGTGCCTTTCCACCGTTCTCGTTCAAAGACAGCACAACTTTTGCTGGCTTTGTGAGGAGTCTAACTGTTCCAGGTAAGCTTCGTCTCCCGACAAATCATCCAGTGCTAGATCCACTTTGCCTTTCTCGCCAGACGACGGGATGCATGACCACCAAGACGAAGAACTGGAAGGAGCTGACGATTTATCGCCAACCACGGTACTCGAGGCAGCAGCAAGTTCTTCCTCCGCATCCACACCATCTGCGTCTAAAGCTACAGATTTCAACGAACTCGCTCCATTTCCAGCGTCGTTCCCTTCTGCTATGACGTCCATGGATGCTCTCCTCACTGCCAGCAATGACTTCAGCTTTTCAATGTCGCAAGCAGTCCCTGCCTCACCTCCAGAGAAGACTCTCTACGATCTTCTGGAGCTGAAGTTCGACGGTTTTGGTTGCGAGCACCAATTGCCCGGTCGGCTCGACGTCCATGACAATCGCGACGAAAAGCTGCAGTCGAGAGGTTTCCAGAGGTTGAGCAATAGCCTGGCCAAGAGCTTTTCTTATGCGCCTCATTTGTTCCTGCCGCAAAATACCACCCAGCATGTTAGAAGCCAGTCCCTGGCATACACCAGCAAACCTGAGAAGCAGTTCAACTTCGGCGGCTTCTTTAGCAGCTCCAACAACGAGATTTCCAGCAGAAGCAGCAGCAAAAATAGTCGCACCAGCAGCGAGTTCAGTATAGAACTGGGAAACAGGTCCGGCAGATACCTCGACTTGGACTTCACGAAGGACGCTGAAGAGCAACAGGATCCCCAAGACTCTAACTTTCAATTTGATGCCAGGAGCAACGTGGAGGAGGTCGTCTGCAACAAGGATGACTCCAAGTTCACGTCTTCACCTGTATCGTCCGCATTCTTGTTTGTTAAGTCTGACACCAGTTGCTCTGACGACTATATCAACTTCCAGCCTAAACCATCTCCCACCAGCCACGGAGAGGAGAGTAACGTCGTGCAAAGATTTTTTCGAAGCGGAAGCCAGTGCCGGGAAATCTCAGATAGCGGAAAGCCGAAGGTAAGTTCTGTTCGCTGTTGCTTGCTGGATCTCTTAAAATTGTGGTTCTCGCAGGGAAGTTGGTTCATCTGCTGCTGGAGAAGTTGAAGAACCTATCACAGGTTTCTGACTATTCCCCCCTCAGGCAACGCTAACGTTTTTCCCTGTTTGCCAGACGTAAGACCTGAAAGATCGAACAAAACGCGAACCTCTAGAGAAATGTGAAGGCCATTGAAAAGGAGCTGCCGCAAGCAGTGCTGTCTTGTAGTTCTGGCAATAGCTACGAAGAGCGTGGCTAAGCGTTGCCACTACCACCACCACCGCAAAGAACCCGAAGAGACCAGAGAAAGCTCGCAAGTCAAGTTTGTCAAACTTGACCTCGACCACTTTCCCGCTGCAGCGAGTCGTGTGAAGCCATGTCTCGTGAATGCGCTGCAGCTCTCCTGTTTCAGCGAGCGTGAGAACTGCCGTTGACACATCAGCAGCCAATGCTGATCCCTTTGGAAATGCCTGATCATGCAGAGAAAATTAAATTAGAAACCATCCTAAAAAGCAATAATGGAACTTTGGAACTTACAAATCCCCAGCCACTCTTTGAAAATTCTTCTTCACCTGAGATTGCAAACCTGCAGTCTGATGATAGTAACAATTGTACGTATGGGAGTTCGTCAACAACAGCTCCTACTTCATTCGAAGAGAGAGCCGTCGAATAAGTGGCGATCGACTTGAGTGGCACCAATCTGTCACTCTCCACGTTGAGCTGGAGCAAATAGTCTTTTACAAAAGACCCTTCCTGGTACCCGATTCTTACATCACTCCCGACCAGACGAGAGAGACCTTGAATAGTTGGTCTCAGCCTGCGAACTGTGAGGATCGACGTCAAGCTTGCCGTATAGCTGGAGATGAGTATCAGGACCACGAACAGCCAGATGATCACCACAATGCGCCCGAGAATACTGTTGATTCTTTCCCCTGCGTGCAAAGAAGAGAAAGAAGTATTGCAGAAGTTTTTTATATTGATAACCAAACTTACGCTGTGAGAAGAAAAGAGTTGAAAAAATAAACCTGAAAATGCACACGACGAGGGTGAGTGACTCAAAATTGGAATTATGCGTGTATTACCAGAAAGTCGTCACAACCTGCTTTCTGGGACGTCCACCAAAATCACGGTTTTTATCCCGTTCCAGGATCCAAACGACTGTCCCTGTAAAGAAGAAAAAGGCCGCTGTTGTGTACCACATTGAGTTTGAAAACGGCTGTAAGAAAGCCCAGGCTTGGTGAGCATGAGTCTCTGTGACTGGCACAACCAACACCAGCCCCGAAATCGTGTAAGGCTGCGTAAAATCCACCAGCTTTGCACGCTTTCGTGTTATTGTGATGTCGCCAACAGCCGCGTCAAACTTCTGCGCACACACACACAAATGATAAGAAAAGAATTTCCAGAGAAACGGAGTACCTTGTTGGCCACCTTCTCGACAAGTTCATCGTAGCTCGGCGTTGAGTTGCCATCTCCAAATCCCACAAACGAGTACGTGACGGTGTACGGGAGGCTAGACAATGCCGCTTTGAAGACGTCGATGCAGAAGCCATGAAACGTGCTTACGTTGCTCACATCAATCGTCAAGTCGACAAACTCCTTGTATCCCTGCTTGAGTGGAACTCCTATAACCAATTCTCGGCCAGTCTTGGGGATCATCAAGCCCCGAGGAACATGCAAGTTGTCCCCAGGCCAGACTATGTGGTGAAGTTTCTTTTGCAGCCGGCTCACCGATTCCATCTGTGGACGATCCTCAGAAGGAGCATCCACCGAGAAACCAGTCCCCTTGTTCCAGTAGCCAACAGTGCGAAGTCCCCTCCCGTACATATTCACCACCTCCAAGTCGGATCCCTTGAGCTCGCCTCCAGCACTGAGCTCCACCTTTCCACTGATTCCCGAGAACTTCGTCTTCACAATCTCCCGCAGCACTCTAGCTCCAAACTTTGCAACTGAGAGCCTCGCCAAGTCCAAGCGTCGCTCGCCACCCGGAGGACACTTCATGGCCTCGTACTCAAAGCTCCCGTTGGCAGCTAAGAACCCGTCGATCGCGTACGCGATCATCCATATGGTGTCATAAGCGTAGAGGCCATAGAGGTTGACGTTGGAGCTTCGATATCCCCCGCGAGTCCTGTTGACGTTGAAACTCCTCCAGCTGCTCTTGAACCTCTCCAGCTGCGGAGAGCCGGGTATGAAGCTCCGAGTGCCAACGATGCCTTGAGCAGCCGCTACAAACTCGTCGTCGCTGTAAACCCCGTCCAAGACGCTCGAGAGAGTCTCTGTGACGATCCAGACGAACCCGGTCGTGAGCATCCGGAGATCGTAAGCCTCGGTGAGCACCGCGCGGCCGACGCTGGCGTCGGTGTGAACCACGAAGATCCTTCCACCGGCATCGCCAAACTTCGCCAGGATCTCGCCTATATCATCCTTGTTCATACTCCGGCTCACGGCAGCCCGGAAGGGAATGGTGGCACCAACTTTGCTGAGCTCATCGTGGAGCTCCATGATCCCGTTGGTGCCAAAGTTATCGTCTGAGTAGAGTGCCACCACCTCCTTCCACTCGAAGAGCTTGACAAAGTCGGCGATGGCCTCCATTTGGATGCGGTCGCTGTGAGTGTTCCGGATGAAGAAAGGATACTGCGACTCCGAGAGGGTGGGATCGGTCGCGGAGAAGGAGACGATGGGGATCTTGGTCACAGTTCCCATGTGTGCTACGAAATGCGCTACCTCGGAAGTTTGCGGCCCGGCGATCGCCACGACTCGATTCCTCTGCATAAGTTCCACAGCTGCGAAGAACAAGAAAATCAAACCTTGTGAAGAAGAAAGAAACCAAGAAAATCAAAACTTTGATCGAGCGATGAAAGATCATCGATCTATGGACGAAAAGAGAGAGTTACCTGCGGCAGCTCCTTGAACAGCGTTGCAATTGTCGTCGGAGATTTGGACGAGAAGCCGTGTGCCATTGAGAAGAGTTTGATCCTCGTTGATCTCTTTCACGGCCAGCTGAATTGCGACCCTGGCAGCTCGCCCGATCCTGGTCCGGAGCGCCAGCAGCGCCCCAATCGTCACATTCTCGGGAGGACTGGCAGCCAAAACCACGACGAAGACGGAAAAAACATGGAAGAGAAGGAAGAAGACGAAGAGCTTCCAGGCCATGAACAGGAGAAACGCTCAAATAAACAACGAGGAGACTCCAAAAAGAAGCACGAATTCCATGAGACCATCCGAGGATAAAGACGCCACTGACAGTTAGGGCTAGGACGGGAGCCCCTGGAAAAATCACACTGGATAGGTCCATACGAGCAATCATTCCTAGTGCGCGACAAGCTGGACGCGATGATTCACCGATCGCGAGAAGAGGATCTCACCTTTGGCGCCAAGGCGAGTAAGAACCCTAAATAAACCGCATTTTAGGGTTCTTGGCAAGGGCAATTTGGCACGGCGTCGCCGCTGCTGGATCATCTCCCGGTGATGATAGGACGATGAGAGGAGAGCTCCCGCGACGCCGATCTCAGCGGTATGTGAGCTGCATTGCCGTGATTCCTTTCCCCTGGTTGAAAAACCGCTGGAAATTCTAGCTCGCCCTGAAAAGAGCTGTGTTCGTCTTTTCTTTCCAGGGATTGGCTTTGACTGAGAGCAAGTTGCGCTACGATTTCTCCTTCTGGTGTCGACACTTTTGATTCGCCCGAGAAAGAAGAAAAATGGCACTGCGGTGTGGCGATAGAAACAACACAACACGTATCTCTGGTTCTGTGCTTCATGCAGACCAACGTACGCTAACTTTGATTTCTTTCTTCTTTTTGGCGAGCGAGGGTGGACGACACTTACACCACACATGTGCCTGCGCTGATTATGATACTCTTTCGCTGGAGCTGGGCGATTCTTCCTGTTTGATCTTGCTTCTTTTCCTTCTTCCGTTTAGTTCTTTGCCTAACGCTCTTGTTTAGAAGGAGGAAACATCTCTCGAGCTACACGTACTGGAAGATCAAAGAAAGATCAGGTTTGTTCCTCTGCTTCTTTTTTTTTTTTTTCTTTGGATGTGATTTCATCTTTGTTTTCTTCCAGATTCTACGTGTTGAGCTGAGGCCGGCTACACCTGGTACTTCCCTTATCTTGCTGGAGGGGGGGATCTCTGTTGTTGTTGTTTTAGATGACGACAAGCAATCAGGAGAAAGCATAAAGAAGGCGCAAGTAGCCGTTGTTTGAAGCCGATTGCTGTAGCAGTCGCTGTAAGAGGTCTCTTTCCCTCACAGTGGTAAGTGGCTCGCCAGTGTAAGTTCCTGCAGAGCTTTCCGATTTCCCGTTGTCTGTTTTAGCTTTGCTTGCGAGCGTCTGCTTACGTTTTCTCGCCCGAGATCCCCGTTCGCAAGGTCCTTTCCTCATTCTATCTCGTGCAAATATCATATATAAAGCAGCGGCTTGCTTGGGTCCACTGCCTCTTACTTCTTCTTGTTCATATCGATTGATCGATCTTCTTCTGTCATTTCAAGTTCCCCTGGTACCACCAAAGGGAAAGGAGTGGCGAGCAATGCCTGAGGTACATGAATCTTGTCGACTTATATTCACAGCTCTCCATTCTGATCCTCGGCATTTTATCCACAGCCACAGACAGTCGTTATCAAGGTCCGTATGCACTGCGAAGGATGCCGTAAGAAGGTGAAGAAGGCGCTCTCCAAAATCCCTGGTAAGTTTCTTCTTTCTTTTTCCCTCCTCCTGGTTTTTCTTCCTCACGGTTTGGAGCCCTTTTGCAGGCATTCAAGAGCTCAAGGTGGACCTTAAGGAACAGAAGGTGACAATCAAAGGCGACGTGGATATAAAAAAAGTGCTGCTCAAGCTAGCAAGAACCGGGAAAATGAACGAGGTGCTACAGCCGGCCAGTGCTCCAGCCGAACCAAACAAGCCAAAAGAATCATCGCTGCCAGCGGCAGCAGCAGCCGCTGGAGAAACTGCGGCACAAACTCCAGCTCCAGCTCCAGCTCCAGCTCCATCTCCAGCTCGATCGAACTCAGCTCCAACTTCGCTGGCCACTTCCGAGGCCGCGACCAAAGAGGCTATCCTGAGGGACATCCAGATGAAGCCGTTGGTGTGGATCGACGCTCCAGACTTTCTGAGCGACGAGAACCCGAACGCGTGCTCGGTGATGTGAGGTAATAGCTAGCGGACAGGGGAGTTTTCTTTTTGTTTTGTTTGTATGTTCCTGCTCTTTAAATGACAATCGTGTTTGTGTGATAGTATCATCACAGATCAATATTGGCTTGCCTCACTGGTTCAAAGCAAAGAAAAACTCGTATTTTCCCTTTTATATCTTACAACTTTTTTATGCTGGGTGGTCATGAAAATCCACAAGTTGAATCCAAATGCAACAAACTATTAAATAAAAGATGTGTGTGCCATTGCCAAATATAGGGGGGTGCTCTTGTTCTCTATTTTGGAACCTTACAAAAGATGTGTGTATACCTAATCTTGAACGTTGACTCTTGCTTTCCAAAAAAGTTTGACCTTTGACCAGATGATCTTACAATGTTCTTGCTGGCCAAAGCCCACAATTTGAGAGGAGCATTTGCCTCACCTCATATGACAAACTATTAAAAAAATATATGTACGTTCTTGCAAGATACAAATCCTCTATTCTGGTGTACCTGATGCTAGAATCCAAACGTTTGACTTTTGGTTGACCCTTCCTTTCTAACAAAATCCATGCCAAAACCAAGGTTTGACCTTTGATCGGTTGACCCTACTGGAGCTGCTCTGCTGGTGCTGTGCTCTTGTTCTTGCTGGTGTTAGAAAGCGAGCAGACAAGACATGGCAGGTTGTGTTGTGGGGACGATATGGAGCAAAATTGGCTTGTATTGTTGACATTCAATGGAAGAAAAAAAAGAGATAGGAGGTCCTACACGTTTTCCTCCCACATATATTTTGGGTCCACATTCCTGAAGAGTCCACTTCTGGACATTCGAGTCCAAGTCCAGTCCATGCTTGAGTGGATTATCAACAAAAGCAGAAGTAGCAGCAGCTGTGCTTGCGGCAGCAGATTCAGTAGCTCACAGGCAGATTTTTTCTGTTTCCACGCAGCAATATATATCATCTCAATCCTCTACGTGTGGATGGGTGTGGCTATGGGGTGTACCTGCATGGGAGATGAGAGAGATAGAGCAGCCTTTAGAAGCCCAGCAAGGCATTCGTGAGGCAAATGCAAACGCCATTCCGCCTTCACGTGTGCTTGCTTGTTTGTGAGGTTGCGAGGTGATCCCATTTTAAAGCTGCCTGTCGAGCCGAATCCAGGCACAACCCACCACCTTTCCTTTCATGCACATGTATATAAAAAACTGCGCAGGAATCTGGATCGACGCAACTCAACAAACCAGGCCGACTTCGAGCCACAAGCTCGGCTTAAACCAGTTATAAAGTGGCAAAATCTTGTCTTCTTTGTTTTTTGTTTGTGCGCATGCTCGGGTTGATGCAAATTGAGGTATGCAGCTGCTTTTTGGCGCGATAGAAAGCTAACAGTTTTAGTTCTTCTCGCTTCAGAACTGCTTTCCCGTTCCGAAGTTGGCTGCACGCTCGCAAGAACATTTGAATAAGGAAAGGGAGAATGCGATAATTATTTGAGATAGATGAATCCTGATCCATCCAAATCTAACATGAACACGTGAACACCAACCGAGCCGGTCCGGCTGGTGGGGCTCGTCTCATCAAAGTGAGATAGATGCCCCTGCAAAAACAAAAACAAAAAAATAGGAAAAAAAGGAGTGCGCCTGAAAACCCTACAGGATTGACATGAACTTGAATCAGAATTCATCCCCATCGCTCCCTCCCCCTCTGCTCCTGCTTCTGCACTTTGAAGGTGGTGGTGTCCACTTCTACTTCATTCCCCCGTCTGCCGTTGCTGCAGTGGAATTTTTTTTCTTGTTCATCTTTGTTTGCCGTCATCTGGCCTTTTTACAGTGTTAGATTCTTGTAACCCAATTTTTAGTTGTAATCTTTTTGTTCTTTGAGATGAGGGCCTTTGATGGAATGGTGCAGAGCTATAGCAGCCGCAGCAGCTGCATCTGCATCTTGCACCTGCACCTGCACCTGCATGCAGCTCAACCTGTCATGGCCTCGTGAAAGACTATCCCTGGCCTTGTTTTTTGCCAGGAACTCAAGTTAGACGTAGATATCTCACACATGTAGATCTGTAAGGCAAACCCTGCCCTCCTTCCTTGACATCAGTCCAGGCTTTGTTTCTAGTGCATTTTGAGGATCTTTCTTGGGTATTTATAATGCATGCAAGCTTCGGCTTCTTTGTGTTCCGGAATTATTCCCGGGAGACTTTGTTTATATATATATGTGGTTCAGAGAGCTGGAAGAGCTTCTGTAACTCTGGCTCGGCTTTGCAGCTGCACTCTCCCCTACAAGAAACAACAAAACTCCAGTTATTATAAACACTTGGCAAGTTGCAGAGGTGAAGTTAGAGAAGGGGTGTAAGACCAACGCCGCTATAGCAGAGGCGGGCAGTGGCATGGCATGGCCCTGTTGTTAAGAAGTCATTCACGTAGGGGGGGGAGAGAGAGAGAGAGAGAGAGAGAGAGAGAGAGAGAGAGAGAGAGAGCTTTTTTTCTTGGTTTCGATATGAAATGTTAAACTTTGTAAAGTCGGTGGCCTACAAAAAAACAAAAAAGAAACAGAACAAGAGAAAGAGACTTCTAGCTCTCCTGCCAGATTCTTCCTTGGATAGCTGGGACTTGAAGAACACTAGACAAATAACCTTTAAGCCGGCCCTCACTCTCTCCCGCTTCATCGCTGATTAGTTACTTAAGCCAGCGTACTTAGCCCAGTAAGTTTATACAAAACGAAGCGACAAAGGACAGACAACTGGATACATTAAGATTAGAATAAATTATAGGCGAGAAGCGAAGTACATAGCTGGGAAGGAACAACAAGCAACTGAAAGAACTAACAACAACAAGCACAAATCCAAAGCACAACAAGAAAAAAAAAAAGAAAAAAAAGAAAGAAAAAATTCCGAAAGTCGCAGGAGTTCAGCCTCTCTTCTCACTCTTCTTCCTTGTTTGGTTTTAGTGTTGTGTCCGTGTGTGATGATCCTGTGTGACGATCCTACTCTGCAAAATTGGCCTCAGGGTTTCCGTTTCCTCGGGTCCTGCTGCTGCTGCCCCTGAATCTCTCGCTTTGTGCCTCTTCGAAAGATCTCAGAACCCGAAAGCCAGACTGGAATGTCAAACTCGGAGACGAAAGCGCAGCCCGTAGCAGAGAACTGAAGAAGAGCCCGTAAAAACTTGAAAGAAAAACTCTTACTTGGTAGCAGTAGTAGTGATAGTAGCGGTAGTGGTAGTAGTAGAGCGGTAAAGTAGTAGTGGTAGTAGTACTGGTAGTAGTAGTGGTAGTAGTGGTAGCGATAGTAGTAGTAGTCATAGTTGCCAAAGTTACCACCACTTAGTGAGTAGCAGGAGGCCTCCTCGAAACTGGCCTGGCTTTCAGAGGATTGACCATCTCGCAAGAGAGCTTGAGCACCTCCGACAGGTCCACGGGGCTGTCCTCGCAAGGCATCCACGAGAACTCCTGGACAAGCCTGGCGATCCACAGCTTCACGGTCGCGAGTCCCAGTGCCCGGCCGGGGCATACCCGCCGCCCGGCTCCAAACGGCGCCAGCCTCAAGTCGATGCCCCGGACGTCGAAGCTCTTGTTCTCCACGAACCGCTCCGGGTCGAAAGCCTCCGGGTTGGGCCAGATGCTGGGGTCGTGCGTGATCGCCCACATGTTGACCATGGCGCTGGTGCCCGCCGGGACGTGGTAGCCGGAGATCTCCACGTCGTGCGTCGCCAGACGGGCCCAGGAGAGCAGCGGACCCGGCGGGTGGAGGCGGAGAGTCTCGTTGATCACGGCCTGGAGGTAAGGCATGCGCTCGGTGTCCGAGTCGCGGACCGGCTGGCCGGCCGGGCACACCGAGTCGATCTCCGACTGGAGCTTGTGCTGCACGTCCGGGTTGAGAACCAGCTCCGCCAGAGCCCACTCTGTGAGGATCGCAGTGGTGTCAGTGCCTCGGAAAATCATCTCCTGCGTACACAAACAAAAGAAGCTCCTGTCAGTCAGTGACTTGAATATAACTGCGTTGGGTGGCGATTGATGAAAACAAACAGCACTGGACAACAGCCGCTTAGTCAGTCAAGCAAAGCAGATTTGCTCACTAAACAATGTGCGTAAAAGACTACAGCCAGCAAGGACCGGCTCAAACACAAAACATGAAGCACACATGGAATGCAAGCTTCAACAGTGCAGGCGAAGGCCAGGATGGAGAAAGAGAAGAAAAAAAATCGGGAGAGAGCGAAGAAAAGCCTGAGTTTGATGTAAGGGGAGGACTGGTTGGTCAAAACAAAGTGGCTCCAAGGACGAAACGACAAACAAGCTTTGTACGCAGAAATTCATCGACCACCGTGCACACGCAGGACGAAGCCGAATCGGTGCTGGCTGTTGAGAGCAAAGCCAACGCCCAATTTACAAGGCGAGATGGAATGGCTATGGCCCAGCGTGACCATTACGGCCCTTAGCTTCTTTAGAGCAAGCGAGCCACAAAGAAACGACCAGCAAACAGCGCCGTATACACACCCGCAAACAAAAGCGAACCGAAAGAAAAAAAAACGTTTAAAAAACACTCTGTGGGATGTCCTGGGTTGCGGTACATCAATTTGGTTCACCAGCTAAAGAGCGTTGCTCAACCCACAATCAAACAAAGGAAGTGAAACGAGGAAGAACTTTAAAGCCGAGCTCGGGAACGAGTAAGCACAAACGCATGAAGGAAAGAACGCGAAAGCCATGAAGACAAGCGAGAAAAGATCCAACAAATGCAATGCTAGAAAAAAAACCAGAGAAGAAGTTACGTACCCAGAGCACCGCGATCATGTCCGACTCCTCGAGCTTGTCCTCGCCTTGGAGCGAGAGCAAGACGTGGACAAAGTCCTCTCCACCTCCGGCAGCTTTGGAGCTGGAAGAATTCTCCTCCTCCGCCGCCGCCATCTCTGCCCGGCGCTCCTGGATAATCTTCCTTACAAAAGCGTTCACGCGAGGAACCAGCTGCTGGCAGCGCTTCACCACGCCCTGGGGATCCCACTGCCTCAAGAATGGGAGATGGTCGGACCAATTGAAAGCGCCCAGAAGCTCAAACCCTTCGCGGACCATCGCCTGGACCTCCTCCTCGCCATCGCCGATGCGTCGCCCAAACACCGACCTCATGACACTGTTGAGCGAGGCGCGCTGGACGAATCCACGCACGGCGATACCGCCGCCATTGGAGCGGGCGGCGCTGCCGGAGATATCGGCCACCATGGCGGCGGTCTCGGCCTGGCGGAGCGGCTCCTGGGCGGCGATCCGGCGGGGGGAGAAGAGGCAGCCCGATGCAATTCGTCGCAGCCGGCGCCAGTAATCGCCGTAAGGCGCAAATCCCATGGCGCGCCCAAAGAGAAGCTCCTGCGCAGATTGCTTGAGCGGGCGGTCCGCGAAGCAGGGGCTGGCGAGGATCTGGCGTGCCACATCCGGCAAAGACGACACCACCATGCGCGTGGATCCGACGCTCACCGCCATAAGCCTCTCCGCCGAGTGTGATCGCGCCAGGGCCGCCAGGCGGCGGTGCGCCAGCGCTCCCATGTCGAGGAGGCTCCCCAGGACGGGGAATCCTCGCGGTCCCGGGATTGCAGCGGCGTTCTTCATCTTCTTGCTAAAGATCAGCGATCTTCCCCACGCCGGGCCGCCGGGGAAGCACCAGAAGAGGATTGCCGAGGCGGCAAAGACGCAAAGAAGCGCCAGCGCGAGAGGGATCCAGGACGGCGACGCCGCCGCCGACGATGAATCCAGCCACGGCTTGGCGATGAGCGGCAGCAAGTAGACCAGAGAGCTCCTCCCAGCGGCGCCGCTGCTGGAATCCATAGCCACGGATCGTTTCTTGGACACTGGATCACGAGACGAGAATATTTCGCCAATGCAACAGTAGCGCTGAGCGATCCACCAAGAACGCGCCAATTCGCGGGAGGCGAGCAATGCGCTAGAGTGAGGATCGAGATCGAGAGAGGGGATTGAGAGAAAGATCGAGAGGAGAGAAGATTTTTGCTTCGTCGCTCGCGCTTTGACGCTGGCCTTGGTCTTCTTCCTAGGCTTTGAGAGAAAATGGGCCCGTGAAGGAACTATTTCTAGCCCCCTACTAAGTAAATCCCGCGCGTTCCCACTCACACGCTGTTTAGTTTGGCAAGCCCGCCAAATTCTTCGCGCTTATTCTGGAAATATTCTTCAACAATTCCACGGAGAATCTGACGGTCGTGACGGGCCCGAGAATGACATGTCAGCATACCGCCCGTCCTGTAGAGCCCTACCTATATTTACTATAACGGCGCCGGCGCTGCACTCACTCCGTACGGCCTCGATTTGTGGCCATATGGCCAGCCGCCGCGCCGCGCACGTATAGTTTTCCCAGGCGAGTGTGGGGATTCTACCGCATGGGAGAAAGTAACTATGACATTTCCCGTGGGGAATTTGTGCTACGTGGCGGGAGGAGATGAGAGCCTGAAAGCGATGTTAAAGTAGTGTGGCCTATTTATTAGGGCATGGGCCGCCACCTTTGTTGCTTACACGAGGATGCATGCATGCATGAGTGTGGCAGACATCGGTTTCGAATGTATAACCTCCTCCGCCAACCTTTTCTTGCTGCGCGTGTCGACAGGGCTGTGTAACAATACTTCGGGTTCGGATTAGGGCTGCCGCCGCAAAGGCGTCAATGGGAGGACACCAAGTAGAGCGCCACAGAAAGCAACACGAGCGCACAAGGCTCAAAGGAATCTACCGTTCCAGGTGCACAGCCACCCACGGAATCTTCCAGAGTTACCTCTTTTACTTTTCCAGAGTTACGCTCTTTTTTTAACCTTGTCGTGAAGTCTGGAAAGGAAAATGCATGAGTTTCTGGACCGCCAGCTTACCATGGCCTGGCCGCAATCAAAAGCAAAAGATTGGCGGTAAAATCAACACCATACTAAACAAAGCGACGTAAAAAGTTGGTGGGGAGGAAGATTCCTGAGAATCTTTGTCGTTGGGTCTGTGGATGTCAACGTTGATCTTGACGGGCCAATGCGATTGCTTTGCGTCGGATCGAAGGAAACGAGCGCTTTCATCCTCCAAATCCTCGAAAATCCACTCCGGCCCGACAGGTTACATTGCACCGTAGCGCGAGCTTCCTGGAATTCCTTCGTTTTTAGTAGTATAGAGAAAAGAACACAATGGAAAGTTGAGGAGACCCTCGGCCCCCAAGGAAGGAAGAAAGAAGGAACAAGCTTTCACAACATTCTCAAAAAGCTGGAGGGAAGACTGAGAGTACCTTAAGAGCTGTGCGTCCCCTAGAAGTTGACACGGTTCCCTCATCTACAAGCCTCCATGGTCCCTCCAGGATGGGAATGCTTCACCAATTTCGCAGCGTTGCAAGTCTTCCTGGATTTCATAGAAAAAAAATCCAAAAACAATGGAGAAAAATTAGTATACATCGTCATGTGATGCAGCACCAGCGATATAAAACCAAAGAGTCAAACAAATCCAACCTGCTTTTTGTGTCACTCCAGCGGAAGTCACCGACAAGCCGCGAGTCGGAGAAGCTTCTCGCTGTTGAATCGAAGTTGGCTTCGATTCATGCGCTTGCCGGTGCTTGTGCTTGGCTGGAAAGAAGCTTCGTACGGTAGTCCGTCAGTTCAGCTGCCACGCCGCCCTTCTTGTAGCAGCGTGCCTGGAGAGAGGAGATTTACAGTTGTTTTCCCAGATAAAAAAGAATTCTTTCACGAAACTTCTCACCTGATGAATGAGTTGCTCCAGAAAACTGGCCTTGTCGACCGGGATGTCTGGCGTTGACAGTAGCTCGAACAACTGCTGGTGAGAATGGCGGTTAGTCGCAAATTCCGTATCGAAGAAACGGAAAAAAGATAAAAAATCAAACCTTGTGCGTATTGTTCGTCTTTGCATGTCTTAAAGTCCGCAGAGCTGCCAAAACAAAGTCGCTCGCGTCTCCCAAGAGCTTTCTGCGTTTCTCGGACTGTGCAGCCGACTCTTCGTGGTTGCCACCTTCGGGATTCCTGTGAGGTACAGAAAGGATTGCAGCTTCCGGTGACGACGAGCCTGCCTCGTCAGGGTCATTTCGAACGTCGGACAGTTCCTTTGGACTCTTGGCGGGCGAGTTCACCTCGCCACCGCTTGCATCACTGCTGCATTCTCCCGACGAGGCAGACGAAGTGGAAGCTGATCCCGAGAGGCCCGGTGACTCGGGGCGCCGACGCCGCTTTCGTCCTCGTAGCTGAGCTCCGCCGCTTCCTTCAAACCATGCTTCGTCTGCGGCGTCGTGTTTCTCCTGACGATACGGGTTTCCAAAGAGCGATCGTTGTTGCTTGGTTCGCTCTTGTTCGTCAGCCTGACAATGAAAAATTTTCAAGTTAGAAAAACGGGAAAAGAAAATACATGATGACTTACAAAAGGATTTCGCGGAGGCTGTTGCTTCCACAGAGCGTCACTAAAGTCACCCATCTGTATGTTCAAGGATCAAACGCTTGAGCGACAAAAACGAACAAAAAAAAGCTCATCACCTTTTCGATAGGTAGCGAGTGACGTGCTTCTTCTTCTTCCATGGCCACCATACGAGCTGCCAAATTGCCCAAGGCTGAGTGGCTTCCAGTATTGCCAGGGGCTTTCTCGTTTTTACTTCGAGCGTCCATGGCAAGCGCTACACGCATTGGCAAATACTTGAGCTGGCTGGAAAAAGAGGGGGGAAAAAAAAAACAATCAGCAACAACCCACGGCTCGAAGAGAATTGACTACCTGAAGAGCTCGTTACGAGGCACATCAAACGCATTTTTAAACACCGCAGCATCCTTCCACGAACCAATTCCCAAGTGGTTGGCAATTTCATTGCCAGCTTTTGGAACTTCGGCAGTAGACGCTTGAGTTGTAAACCTCGCATTTTGATTTGGTTTTGAAGGTCCGGACGGAATGCAGACCTCGAACGTCCTCTGGCTGAGAACTGAGTCGACGCTGGTTGTCGACGACGAAGAAAAGCGGACAGAAAATGCAGTAGTAGTGAACGTGTGCGTTCCAGGAGCATCGATGGAACCGGATTTTGAAGACGGAAAGACTCTTTCATGTGGCTTGGGGGCATAAGAACTTGAGTTTATCAGCTTCTCCGTCTGTAAAATATTTAGATTTGCAAGAGAACGAGAAAATCCAAAACATTACCATACTCTCCAGCTCCGTCTTTGCCTGAGCTTTCAACCGTTTGAGCTGGTTTCCAACAAAACCAGCAAAAATTGTTTTCTCGAGAGCATCCGGCACAACATGCAGGTTCAATCCCCACTGCCGAAGTGCAGCTCTCAAGGGCGGGCCATAGTACGCCGGAATACTGTTGCAATATCGCTCCATTTCTTGTCGCCACTGTATTGTGTTTGTAGCCTTTGGATTTTTGCTAGCGTGCTCCAATAGATGAAACAGTACCTGATAAAAAAAGACTACGTCAAGTTCAAGCCGATAAACATATTTACTTACTGGATAATTGTATGGTAGCACGAAAAGAGTGAGATTTGACCCAATAAGCTTGAGATACCTGTTGTAAGAACCATAGAAACTAACTTAACCAAAAATCACTTCTTCATACCCAAATGGATCTCCATAGCCAAAGTTTGGCCCCTTACTATTACGTATGAAGACTTGCCAGCATGCATTAGCCGCTGCTTTCGTCAAAAAGTTCACAATCGGGTTGGACTCGATCTGCAAAGAAGCTCTGGAAAGTTAGGCCTTACAAGTCCCTCAACTCAAGCGCTTACGTCGTACTTATCGTAGATAAACTGCGCGGGAATCGATGGATCCGAGTCGATAGCTTTGTAGACAATAACAGGATGAGGCTCTCGAGGAGGAAGAGATTGCTGTGACGAGTCAGGCCAAAAGGTCTCCGGTATTGGCCAATGCCCCTGGTGAGGCTGATTGGCCCTGATAAGCAAGAGCTTTCGTTGGCAGGCAGCATGAACCTAGGAGAAAGAAAATAAAAACATAAAAGTTGTAAAGAAACATCAAGATATAGTACAAACCTGAGGCGGCGGAGCAGTGGTTCCGGGAATTGGCATATTTTCGAAAGACACCACCACGCAAGTTGAGAGCCGAGATGTGACTTCAATGTGCTGCATTAAGATTTTTAAACTTGTTGCCACATAACATTTTCCCCTGCGTGAAGATAAACTCTATGAGCCAACGGAAGAACCAAGACAAGGAAATAAAAAAGATACAATATATCAAGCACGTACCCAGTCGACTCGCAAAACGCAGAGATGTCATTGTCCATTGCCAGAGCCGTTTTAGAACCCGAGATAGGAGCATTCTGCGGAAGAGGTCCGCTCCGTTCTAATACTTGCTGACTGACCGATGGCATCCTGCATACGAAAAGTCATGTAAACCACAGCAGAAACCAGATAGCTCACCTGAGAACAATCGCAAAGACTCTTTGATCCCAGCGGTAAGGCTTTGCAGCTAGCTCGCCGCCTGCAGGAGCCGGACCATTTGGTACAATGGTCTTGAGAACACCTGCCTAAGATACGCAAAGAGAATATAAAAACGAGACTTCAAATCGAGAATGGAAATACTTTAGAAGTGAGTTCTGTTCCATCCGTCAACAGAATAATCGTCGTCGGTTCTATATGTATAGGATTTCGCCCCTGACCTGGAACAAAACGCTGTAAGAGACACAAGGCAAAAGAACGAGTGAAAAACATACCATACTTTTCAGTATCGTTTACAAGCCGATGAAGGTGAAGATAGTCAAGAACTAGCTGTAACGACGTACCAATTTCCGTGAGATCGTGAGCTTCAATGCTCTTCAGTGCTCGCGTGAAGTTAACAAATGGATATTTGTCGACCACCTAGAAACAGAAAAAAACAGAAGAAAAAAACACACAAAGAACTTAGTGATAAAACAACTAGGCCAGATCGAAAGAAAAGATCACCTTGATCGCATTTACTCCCTCTTCGCAAGTCACAAGGAGATATCTGGGATAGAAATGCGGTAAACAAATGCTAGAGCTACTAAATTCTCACGCACCTGTCCGATTTGTGCCAAGTGATGTCTCGCAGGCGCAACTGGAGCAAGAGAAAGGGCAATGTGAAGAGATTTGGATGGAGCTCCAGCGGCTTACCTTGACGAAATGCTCCACGGCACTCTTGGCGCAATCCAGCAGCGACAGGCCATTCGAGCAGCGCTGGTTCATCGACGCGCTAGTATCGATCACAAAAACCACGGTCATCTCTACGGGCACTAAAAACCTAGCTCCAAGGGGATAAATATATTAGGGTTCCTCGAAATATGTTAAATATGGCTTTCTGCTGGAGATTTAAGTACGACCTTATCAGGTTTTTTTGGTATTTTTGGTATTTTTAGGGTGAACTGGTCATGAAGATTAAGTATTTTGTGAACCGGACCAAGCGCTTCTGGAAGAAGGTTGATAATCTGTATAAGAAAACTCTGAAGCTTCATGATGTGTGCGGGGCTTTGGTGCGCCTAGATGTTTCATATATGAGGAGGTACAGAAGGTCAATACGGACAGACGGGGTTGTGAAAAGGAGGACAATCAGAACATACAAGCAACAACACATGGATGTAACCAGTTAGATATTGTTATCGATGACTTGGTGATGTAGTCATCACTAATTAGGGTTGACTCTGAGGACTATCGTTTTAATTTTGACAGATTTAATTAAGGCCCTGGTGCATTCCTCAATCCTCCAGCCACACTTATCTAGTGACTAACTTTTAGCTGGATTTCCCTTAGGGTTCTCTCATTGGTGGGTAGTTTTCATCTCTTTGATTGTCTTGAGAGTTTGTATGCAACAGGGCCTCATCTAGAGGCCATGATTGTGCATAGAGGTGCAATAGTGAACATGGCTGGTGCACACAACTAACTTTTTGCTCCACACTAAGACATTGTTACAAATTAGAATACAACTCATTGCAGCTAAATTGTTGATCCGAAAATCTAATAATTTGCTCTGACAACTTTGGTTGCTTTAGTTTATTATATTTTTTCTATATATGAATATAGGAATTGATCTATATTTCCTTCTAAATGATCTCAATTCATCCTTTTTGTTAATTAGGTTAACAAAATAACACTAAGAATTTGTGTTAATTACTCCCCACGAATTTAAAGATATAACTCAATTACCATCCTTTATCTCCTTTAATAATTTCATCTTTGACTTGTATCATTCTCTTCTGGGTTTAACAAAATATTTCTTGTTTACAAAGTTTTAAACCTCATCAAGTTTGTTTCTTAATGCCTTTTTAAGCTTTTAAGACCTAGTTCTAAAGAAAAACCCAAAACATCAGAACTTATACCTTTGATTTCCTTTTGTTACTAGACTCCTTTATCCTTTCAAATAAAAAACATCTAAGAAAACAAGAAAAAAAAACCTATTGTAAGACATAATAGTTAACTAGCCTGCTATGATGTGATGGAAGACCAGCTAGCCTAAAATCCAGCCAACTCTGTAATATAAGAAGGATATCAATTGCCTTATTATGGTGCAATAGAAAAGGATGTTAGCTAGCTTGCTATGGTGTGATGGAAGACTAGTTGGGAGCACAAAGGATTTAGCTATTTATCATTGCTACTACAAGGGATTTTTGGCACTTATCTTTGTAATATAATTGGATGAAAGAAATTTAAATAGATTTTAAATAGGGTTTATATTAAAGAAAATTAATAGTAAACAGTTAGATTAAGGAATATCATAAATATACTTAAATATTCTAATTATATCCAGATGTTCTATTCCATCTTTTTTTGTTTACTTTAGAAAGCCTCACATTGCTCTATCAAAATATCAATTGACTTTATTCTAATAAATTCAAGTATATTCTTTTATCTAGATTAAAATTTTCTTTAATTCACAGTTTAATGTTAATATTCTTAATTACTTTTTAAATTTCTAAAAATTAATTAATTAGCTTATGTAAGTATTTAGTTTGTATAAAAGTATAAAGCAATTGATAAGCAAGTCTTTAGAAGGGACAAAAGAATAACCAACCTGTGGCAAGTGTCGTGACATGTAAAAGTGTCAAAGTCAATATACTAAAACTGAAAGACTCAAAGTAAAATAATGTTAGAACCATCTTGATCACCGAAAAACCAAATGTCTAAATTGACAGATATATCTAAAGCTAAATATATCTAGGGCGAGAGTGTCAAATATATCTAAAGCTAAATATATCTAAAGTGTGGTGAAAGCCTAGAGTGATTTCCTTCTAGACCTTAGGGAATTCAATAAGTCCTTGCAAGATAGTGGGGAGGAGGATATCCCCATTTATATTGTCATCTATCACCTATTTGATGGATGGATTGATCAACATAAAATAGAACTAATGGTGCTAAGTAAAGTTATACTCATGTGGTGGGTGAAGATATAAATACTAAAGAGTCCAAAAATAAACTAAACATGGATGGATACATGGGCTAATGTGATAAAATGTTCAAAAATTGGCTCTATCTCCTTTGAGAGATGAGATAGTTAATACTCCCAATTTAAGTGTGAATTGCTTTATCTCTTTAGATACTTTATATGACTCATTGGAGACTCACTTTAGCCATATTGTTAGGGCATTTTGGTGGTTGAAGGTGGTGGGAGTACCTATAAAGTTTGTATTAAGCCATAATATTTTGAAATGTTATCTTAAAGTCTTAATTGTGGAAAGAAAGAAGAGTCATTTTCTTACTTAGTAACTAAGGGTATAATTACGTGGTGAAGAGGTTTTAAAAATTAATAAAACTTAGTGGATGGGCCTTTGGGCCCTGACCCAATGGCCATATTAGTGAATATTGTCGTAAATGGAGAGTAAGTAATGTATATTTCTACCCTTACATTTGAAATTATATATATTGAGCATCTATACATACATCCTTCCTCTTGTGAAGCATTCATAGATGAAAATATTCATCTTGAAAGTGCAGTACAAGTTGATGATTAGTTGTTTCACATGGAATAACTAATCTATACAATGGAAATATTAGTAGATTCATTGTCAAAATAAAAGTGTTAGTTCCCTTTAGCTCAATAGGGGTTATTGTTACTTTAGAGGATAAATAGGGATAAAATAACCATTAAAGGCTTTCTCATTAAGCAATGGCTTTCTTTCTAATTGACTTAAAAGGGAAAGATAAGTGTGCTTCAAAAGAATATTGAAGGTTTAGATCTTGAGTTATCCTATGGATGTTAAAAAGTAGTAATAAAGTAACCACTTATATATAATTTTGTATTGAAAATACAAGTTTATGATATAAAAGGTGATATAGTGAGAATTTACACGACTTTAGTATAAAAGGTTGATATGTTAAAAGTACATAAAAATGCAAAATCAATGTAGTTTTAAAACCACTTTTGGGGTCTTGGTAAGTATTTTAATTTGAAATAAGAAAGTTGTGAATGAGACTCTTCCAAGTATAAGATGTGATTAAGGTAACTAAAGTAAAATAGAAAATTTAATCATTTACAACTTGGTATCAAAGTTTTTTCTTTAATTTAATTTTTATTAGTGGTTAAATATATCAACCACTTGATATTGACATTTTAAGGTCCTAGGAATAAAGTTAAACTTGAGGAATATGATATCATGAAAGTATCACTCTTCATTTTAATTCTTCTATGCTTTATTTCGTTAAAGTGGGACTTATTCAGTAGAGTGGGATATTAATTAGCATGTGTCCACATGCCATTTCCTAGTACTTAATTAATATTTATTAATATTTCTATCAGTTTTTTAATTTATTTTTTTATATTTCACAATATTATAACACAAAATCATATGAAAAGTTTTTAATTTATAAATTATAAAGTTAAAATTTCAATTTTTTATTGTTG